GGTGGCGTCACTTCCTTCGTTTATCTGCGGGCAGCAGAGGACGTTGTCGCCCTCTGCTGACCGTTCTCCCCTCTCCGATGATGCAGTCCCATGTGCGATCCAACGAGTAAACTCCATCGTCTCTGTTCATGGTCCCACATCCACGTCTCCTTATCTCTATAGCTTCTTTTATCCATCTTTTGTATTTCTGTTGTTCTGTGTTTATGATCCTTGTGTTGTCCCAGTCCATTACATGGTTTTCTCTTGTGCAGTGATCTGTTATGGCTGACTTCTTTATTGTACTTTCTGCTTCTTGTTTTGCTGCTCTTGTGTGTTTTCGACTTGCCTCTTTCTCGCACTCCTATCTGATGATAAAATGGCTGTCTGTTGTTGTTTAACGAGCAGAAACTACTCTGAGTACCCCTCTTCTCAACCCCTGATGAGCCGTTGGCCTCTATTGAGAGGGAGTTGTTGTGTTGATCAGACACAGGAAGGTGTGACCTAGACTGAAACTGCTTAGGAATGAGATCCAAAGCTGCATTATAGTTACTGGAAAGGTTAAATCTAAGCCCCTTCCCTATTTAAAGTGAGTTTTTCACTTTTGACATAGATAGCTTTCTTTACTCCTCTCTCACACCATCTGTCTTCTCTGTCCAGAATGTGTCCCTCGTCCTTCAGGTGTAGGTGGACTGCAGAGTCCTGACCTGAAGAGGTGGCTCTCCTGTGTTGTGCCATGCTCTTATATAATTGTTGTTTAGTTTCCCTGATGTAAACATCTGGACAGTCCTCACTACACTGGACTGCATAAACGACGCCACCGAGCTTCTGTTTGGGTGTTTTGTCTTTTGGATGAACCAGTTTCTGTCTGAGGGTGTTGTTGGGTTAAAGTTTACTGGGATGTTGTGTTTGGAGAAGATTCTTCTAAGTTTCTCTGAGATTCCTGCCACGTATGGGTTTATGGTGCTGTTGGGCCTGTTGGCCTTTACTTTGCTGGTTGCTGCTTTGGATTAATTTCCAGACTTCTTTGTAGATTTCACAAAGGTCCAGTTAGGGTGTCTGCAGTTCTGGAGAGCTTTCTTCATGTGTTTCTAACCCTAACCCTTTCTTCAGTCTTTGTGGGAATGTTCTCGGCCCGATGGTATAAAGTCCTGATGACTGAATTTAGTGCTCCAGTAGGTGATTAGGGTTGGGCATTGTTTGATTTTGAACGATTCCAATTCCGATTCCGGTTTCTATTGATTCCCGATTCCGATTCATTCAAGACATGACATGCTTTACATGAGCCAGCTAACCACAGGTCCTACTTGATGAAATAATCTTAACAGGATCTGTTCGGGTGCGAGATCGGCTCGGGGTCCTTCGACTGCCGATGATGTCGAAGCACGGCAAACCCACTCAGACAAAATACACTACACATCTATACTGTTGGAAAGAATTTAGCAGTTTTGTTATTAAAATAATGTTTCTTACAACGTAAGTTTGTGTTTATAATGGTATTTGTAAAATAAAACACTATGTTGTATTCATAATGTTGAACTCCTCTTTGAGCACATCCCTTGAAGGATCATAGGTATTAGCAACACCTGTGAAATTGTATTTGCAGGAAAGAAGTGTGTCCCATTTATTGAAGTATTTTGTGTTTAGAGTTTTTGACGTCTTGTCCATGCATAGTTCAGTTACGCTCATAGCTGCTAGCCAAAACTCTGGAGTTAAAAGTTTTCTGGCTTTACTAAAATACATGTCTGCACTTTTTGATTGATGGTAGTTTTACTTTCTATTAGACTCCAAATGTAATCATTTGGCACATTTCTAATTCATAATTTGTAAGAATGTAATCAGTGATATTAGCATTAGCATTCCTATGGGTTTTTCCACGTATATTAGCATTGCGCTAACCACTTGCTGCCAAATTGCAGCCTTTGCGATTAGAAAATATCCTTTTGTCACATCGCAATTTAATTGCACATGCAGTTAATCGTTCAGCCCTGATATACATACAGCTCTATGCTAAAAGTGTATTTTCGAAGAGGTAATGATGGATTTCTTTGTAAAAGTTGTCCATCTTTCCAACAGAAAGATTTGCCCGGACCAACGTAACGTGATAACAACGTAATGTGATTACGTAATTCCGTAAGGTTCATGTTCAGCCAATCAACTGCTTTGACGTCATCGGCAGTCGACGGACCCCGAGCCGATCTTGCACCCGAGCAGATCTTGTACCGACAACAGAACCTGTGACACGGTCAAAATGGTGGTGGTGGCCACCTCCCATTTCTCCTCATAACGTGTTATTGGAGCCTATGGAAATGAACTGTCCAATATTTATATGTCGATGATTACTATACAACCTGTTCTACCTCCTGCTGCTCACGTTTAAAACGTGACTTTTAGTGTACTATAAAATAATAGCCTGATCAGCCAGCCCTGTGCTTCCTTATGGGATATAAATATTAAATTACTGATGTTGGGGCAATTTCTCATTAAATGTTTTATTTTTTATTTATTCTGAACGTGATTGGTAATGTAACGTTAATCTTTTAACTCAGGCAACCCTTCGACATCTTGTAGGGGTCCTGAGCGATGACGTATCTTATTAGATGTTAAACCTTAAACCCGAAACTTAAAACCGAAACCATCCATCCATTTTCATCCGCTAATCCGGAGTCGGGTCGCGGGGGGCAGTAGCTAAGGCGAGAGGCCCAGACTTACCTCTCCCCAGCCACCTGGGCCAGCTCCCCCGGGGGAATCCCAAGGCGTTCCCTGGCCAGGTGAGAGGCATTGTCCCTCCACCGTAAACTTGTTTTTAAATTAATAATTAATCAGATCAACACAGATTTACAAATGCGTAGCTCGCATTTAAAGCCTCAGAATGGCTCAAACTACTCGTACACCAAATTAAAAGGTGAGTTCATCATTTATTGACTGTAAACATTGCTACATGCTAACTAGCCTGTATAGCTAGTTAGCCTCTGGTCGTAGAGCTGCTTTGAAAATTCCTCCAAATTAAAATCGTGCTGGTCAAACGTTTAATAATTCGCCAAAAAAGATAAAAATATCCATTGTCTTTAGGTACATTAGTGCTTACGGCAAATTCGGCTCACATAAATGATAATGGAAGACGAGTACAGACCAGAAAAACGTGATGGTTTAATGTGTCGGTGAGATTACGATAAAGACTAGTTTGGGTTTTGAGCAGTGCTGCTTACTTTTGTAGCGAAATACCAACGTGATGTCCGATTCGAGACTTTATTTTCCATATTAATGTAATCATATTCAGAAGTTTGATGCATGTGCAGAATAATAATCATTGGTCAGCCCTCACACCTGAGATCAATGTAGTCTTAGTAACCCATACATTCATGGCTAGGACCTTCACAAACTCAGATACGTCTGTTTTTGTTTAAATAACATGAATGAGAGTTATATTACCTCTACGACTGTAGTTTATTGAATGATTACACACTGGTAGACACACATGATTGAAGGTACATATTGAGGATGCTGATGTTCCACAAAACAGGAACTAAAACAATCAGAGCTGTCATGCTGATATTTAGTTCCTGATAGATTCATAACATGCTAGGGGAAATAAAACATGTTTGTGTCATACATCAACTCACTGTTGCTTTTACATTGTTTAAAGTTAGAAAGTATTAATCAAAGAAAACTGACATTTCCTCGAGTTATTTAAAGGGATACGGTGAAACTTTTCCACATATTTAAATCATGGTCTTGAGCCAGTTTGTGCTAAAATGAGCTTTTGCAGGGTTAATGAAAAGTCACTCAGACCCACCCACCCCTTCTGTAGCCAGAATATCAGTGGCGGGTTGCTGGGTAGCTGACATACCTGGTGCTGCAGTCTGCTTCCAGCAGGTTTCCTGCACATTTTAGATCATGAACACATCTGATATGTTTGATTTAGTGATGAATCCCTTCTGTAGACACTAATGAAGGCTGGGGAGACGTTTCACACAGAGAGGAGATGAGTTTTGCTTTTGGCTCTACTAAAAGGACTCTAGAGATGCTAAAAACAAGCCCACACTGCCTAGTCTCCCTTTAAATAATAAAAAGTTGATTTAATGTAAGTTTGTAGATTGGTCAATAATTTCACACACATTTTACATCATTTCTGCTGATAAATTAATTTAAAACAACAAAATGTGAGGAGCTGTTTGAGAGCTGAAAGAGCCAGTTCATTTTAGTGATCCGAGCCGGAGTTCCCACTGTAGTGTCAGGCTGTATAGCGTAACGACTAGGGCTGCAACTAACGATTATTTTCATAATCGATTAGTCTGTCGATTATTTTTTCGATTAATCGATTAATCGGTTTGTTATTGTTTAGCTATTTAACCTATACAAGTGATGAATACATTTCAGTTAAGAAAAAGAAAAACATAAGATAATTGTGCAGTTGACTGCAATCTATTTTATTGCACACAGTCAGTGGTGTAAAATGAGCTAAACAGTGCAAAATATCAGTCCAGAATAATTTCCTGTCAGTGAAGGTAAATAATGACAGAACTGGCTGTATGACTGGTTCAACCTGAGCCAATTGTCTTCTGTATGCTGATGATCTTGTCATTCTGAGTCCTAGTGTGGGCTACAGGAACTCTTTATAATATGGATTAGATTATGACATCAATAATCCTGTAGTGACCTGCAGCTGTTCCACACCTGCTTATCAAACCTGGATGCTGGGAACGTTCTACAGCTGAATGAAGATGAGTTCCTCATCTGTGCCGCGGACTACTGCCCACTCTCTTTTCACGTGTCTGAGCAGAACCTCCCTGAACCGTCTGCAGGCGCTTCAGGATGCCTGTGCTCGGCTTCTGCTCAGAGTTTTATCTTTTACATTTTTAATCTAAATTCCTCCTTTCGCCCCATTTTTATTTTCGCATCTTAGTTCTGTTTGGTACAAAACCTAAAGTTTATCATCATCAAACAAGCCCATCTCGGCTGTGTCTAGCTGTCAGAAACGGGTTTTCTAGACGTTCGTTTTAAACATGTTTTCATTTGTTCAGCTTCTGGGCAGCAGAAAGCAGACTCTGCTGGCTCGGCCATGCCTCAGAAACCCCAGAAGAATGCCCAGACTGCACACTACATCGAGCTGGGAGGTTATCAGTACTGGCCGGTTCTGGTGCCCAGAGGAATCCGCCTCTACACGTATGAACAGATTCCAGTTTTCATGAGGGAGAACCCTTACATCACCGATGGATACCGAGCATACCTGCCCTCCAGGCTGTGCATCAAGAGGTAGAAAGAGGGATTGTTTCATTCTTCAGCTCGTTGCATTTTTCCTGGTTTGTTCTGTTGTGACAGAAGTCTTATTTTGGTGCAGCCTTTTCATCCTGTCCAACGAGACGGTGAATATCTGGAGCCATCTGTTGGGCTTCCTGCTCTTCTTCTGTCTCGGGGTGTACAACATGGCGTCGCTGCTGCCGGCCGTCGGCGCCTCCAGAGAGGATTACGTCATCTACTCCGTCGGGCTCTTCTGCTTCCAGGTTTGTGTTCTGAAGCTCGTCTCAGACCCAGGGTATCCGCGGGTCCTTAAAAAGTCTTAAATTAGCTTTTCCAAATTTAAGGCCTAAAAAATCCTTAAAAATTACAAATAATCCTTGAATCCAGTTTCCAAAGGTCTTGAATGTCCAAAGACCCAATAAACAAGATTCTTTTATTTCTATGAAATTTTCATAAATTTCTAGTTAGTGTTCAGCATTTTTGTGTATGATGTAGGCGTAAGCGGAACCGTACACATGCAGCTGGTTGTGAAAGGGGGCTATTTTTAGATGAGCACATGAGCTGGTTAAGCTAGTGGGAGCTTGCGCCATGGGGAAGTGCAAGTTTAATGGTAACTGGATGGCTAATCCCACCTTCGCGACGTGGTTAGCACCGGTTCCAGGCAATAGCTGGAAATTATAGCTTAAATTTAATTTTAAAAAATTGCTTAAATTTGGTCAAAATGGCCTCAAAAAAAGTCTTGTCTTAAATTTGGCTCCCTTAAAGCTGCAGATACCCTGCAGACCTCCGTACTGAGCAGAACTGATTACCCTCTTCTTCATTTTCCCTTTTTTATCACAGTTTTTACTAGGGCTGCACAATATATCGAAAAATTATCATCGCGTTAACAGGACGTGCGATAGGCCCATCGCAAAGCACGTCAAAAACAGCGATAAATGTTTGGTTCAAACATTTCCATCCGTGTCATACATCAACTTTTTTTACGCGGAAGTATTATTTGACCAATCAAATGTAGCCCTTCTGATATGCGGCCAATCAGATGGGTCCGTTCATGTAATACGCCCGCTCCCTACGTAGACCCCGCTACCGCTCGCTTCCCTTGTTCGTCATGCTGGCTCAGATTAACGAACGCACTTTGTGCTGAGGTTTCTGGAATCAGTGCTGCTTTCAAAAGTGAACGTGAGTCCGCTCGGTGTCGTTAAGCAGCTGATAATAACCGGGCTGACTCCGACACGTGCCGGTGAACCAACCCACCTACCTCCATGTCGCTAGTGTTCCACCGGGTGGTGATGTTAGCCCCAGGCTCCGGTTAGCTTCCAGCTAAAAGGCTACAGCACTCTCCTCCCAGTCCCACCCTGCTAAAGAGGGCCTGGAAAAGTTCCCCCACACATCAAAGTGATTTTTCATTTATGAGCTTTTATAATCTTGTTAATCAGGATAGTTGATTTGCTGCTGCACATAAACTGTCAGTCAGAATTCAAGTTCAATTCAATTCAAGTTTATTTATATAGCGCCAAATCACGACAAGAGTCGTCTCAAGGCACTTCACATAATAATAGAAATGTGTTTAGTCACCAACATGATGCAGATATTTGTACAGATGTTAATTTTAGCATTAGCATCTATAAAGTCTCTGAATGATGAGGTTGGATTCACTTCCTGACTGCTCGTGTCTCCCTCAGCTGTGCATGCTCTGCTCGGTGGGCTACCATCTGTTCTGCTGCCATCGCTCCGAGAAGACCAGCCGCCGCTGGATGGCGCTGGATTATACCGGAGTTTCTATCGGCATCTTGGGATGCTACGTCCCTGGAGTCTTCTACACCTTCTACTGCAATAACGTGAGTTCATCGTGACCTTCATTCAACAATCTGGTTCTCTTAGCTGAGTTTGCTGCCGTCAGAAAGACAAATCATCTGCTGCTGCTACAATTCTCCTTTATCCGGTCCATAAACGCATCACCACCCAGCATAAGAATAATCCCACGTATGCTGGATTAATCCTGCATGAAAAATGAAAAACATAAATAGTTGGAATAAATGAGTGTAAGAAAAGAAACAAACTCGTGGTTTAGGACGTTATTCCGTTGTTTTCCGGGTTATTTTTAGATTTTGAAGCAAATGGCTGCTGCGGAGTTGCTTTCCAAACTTCAGCTGCATTCATTGTTTCTACTGGGAAGATCGACTAGCTCATCGTTTTCTTTCACAACAACGGCTCAGCGGCCTGACCTCCTGGTTTTCACATGGAGGAGGAGGAACAGGCGCTTATCCTTCTGCGTTGACCCTGAGCTGACCTGACGGCGACGCGTCAGAAAGTTCCAACAAGTTTAAATCTCATGGAACTTTTATGGAAATTAAACCAGAACTTTGGGTCAAAATCAGATTATTTTAGTTTTAGAATAAAGTCGTTACAATGATCTAATCTGGATTCTGTGTGTGTGTGTGTGTGTGTGTGTGTGTGTGTGTGTGTGTGTGTGTGTGTGTGAGAGAGAGAGGTGTGTGTGTGTGTGCATGTGCATATGTGTGCGTGTGTGTGTGTGAGGTGTGTGTGTGTGCATATGTGTGCATGTGTGTGTGTGCGTGCATGTGTGAGGTGTGTTTGTGGGTGTGTGCATACGTGTGTGTGTGTGTGTGTGCATACGTGTGTGAGGTATGTGTTTGTGGGTGTGTGTTCGTGAGGTGTGTGCGTGTGCATACATGTGTGTGTGTGAGGTGCATGCATGTGCGTGTGGTGTGTGCGTGTGCATACGTGTGTGTGTGTGAGGTATGTGTGTGTGTGCGTGCATGTGTGAGGTGTGTTTGTGGGTGTGTGTGCGTGAGGCGTGTGCATACGTGTGTGTGCGTGCATGTGTGAGGTGTGTTTGTGGGTGTGTGTGCGTGAGGCGTGTGCATACGTGTGTGTGTGTGTGTGTGTGTGCTTCAGTAATTGAATAGAGGACCTCTGAGTCTGGCTGGGCTCACTGACTCATTGTTCCTGGTGAATAAGCAACACAACACCTTCTCCGCTCTCGGCGCTTGGAACGCCGCCTCCGATGACACAGACCAGTTCCAGCCGCCCACCACCGTGTTTTTTATTTTATTTTTTACTCCTGAAACGTTTGGCTGGGCTCCGCGCTGCTAGCTTTCCCCCGCATGTTGGAAGCGGCGGGTTATTTTGCCCCCAGAACTTCTCTGAAATCTGCTCCAGCCCAAACCAGATGGCTGTGTTCACAGACAGCTCCACCACTCCTGTTCCCCACCATATGAGCCGTCTCAGCACAGGAGCCCCCCCTCCATGCCCAGACTGGGGCTTTGCTTCAAGGTGGCTCCACTCCAGTGGCAAGCCAAGTCCCTGAAGAAAAACAGATTTTTATATTTAGCCAGTCAAACTCTCGTCTCGTCTTTCAGGGATGCAGATTTGGACAAGATGGAGTCTGTGAGGAGAAGAGCTTAACAATTTGGCTGGAGCTGCGCGGGTCCTTGTTCCGGGTGCAAATTTATTCACTGTGAAATTCAGCAGGACTCGTCACATGAGGACGTGTGACTGGACGGAGGCCTGCATCCACACAAACGGACAGAAGGGACGAGACGAGGCTGTCCAGACTTTCCACAGCTACTTATAGAAGTTTAAGTATCAGGAACAGATCTGAGGACACGCTCGCAGATCTGTGATCACAAGTCAAACAGTAGGAGAGTTTTAACACATGCAGAGGAAACGTGGCCAACAACACTCTCAAGGAACCGTTTTACTCCTCTCGTCTCGCTTTAGCTGCAGGATCTTCAATCGTTTTACCCTGAACGCCTGAGAAGTTCCTACCCCTGTCCTTATGAGTAGATGTGTGTTTGGACTTGGTTGTCTGCAGTACCTGCGGCAGGTGTACCTGGTGACAGTCCTGGCCATGATCCTGGCCGTGTTCTTCGCTCAGATCCACCCTCTCTACCTCAGCAAGCAGTGGAAGCAGCTTCGCTCGCTCATCTTCTGCTCGGTGGCCGGATACGGCCTGGTCCCCACTGTCCACTGGATCTGCATCACAGGAGGCTTCTCCTCGGAGCTGGTCCAGGTGAGCTGGACCGCCTTCACCTGCTCGGCTTTGTGACTCTGAGGTTTGACCCGATTTCCTCTGCAGGCTTTTGTGCCGCGGGTCCTGGGGATGTACTTCATCGCTGCGCTGGCGCTCGTCTTTTATGTTTCCAAAGTTCCCGAGCGTTACTTCCCAGGTGAGATCCGGTTTATTATTATGGGATGTTAACCTCCTGAGCCTCTATTTGAACCTGGCCCACCCAGCACGTTTAAGCATCAGAACCTCTAGTCTTCTATTTCGTGTCTCCAGGTCAGCTGAACTACCTGGGCTCCAGCCACCAGGTGTGGCACCTACTGCTGGTTCTGATGTTTTACTGGTGGCACCAGACGTCGGGCTTCATCATGGCGTACAGACACAGCCAGCCGTGTCCTGAAGCTTCCCAGCATTCATAGCTCCTCGTCAGGGGACCAGGACGGTGAGCAGCGTGTTATTGTTTATGTGAACAGCTGATTTCTAACTCCACATCGGGACACCCGCGTGACAACCTTCTGGTTTCTTTTCTTGCTTTGCACAAACAGCAGCAGATCAAATGTCCCGTTTTCACATGAAGTTTGTGTATACACCCAAACAGATGTAAGAGAAGAGCTGTAGATCGTCTGCAGCGATGGAGGAAACCATCAGCAGGCCAGAAGACCAGGGTCAAAGGTTAGCTTCATGGTCAGACTGCTGACCAACGCTGAAGCTTCACTGTTCCAGGTGTTGATCAAGGGACTGTTTCATATGTTAGCTCCAGAAGCAGCCTGGCCCCTAGAGGGCGCAGCTGCGTCTCTTACTTTAGCTTACAAGCATTTAATTACCCAGAACAAGCCTGGAAGCAGCGTTTCTGATGTTGTCATGGCTTCATTCCAACATGCAGGATGGTTCTGCTGGTTTCTACAGAACCCGCTAGGGTACTGCTGCTGTAGGGAGACACCACCAACTCTTAACAGGTAGGGTTGAAGACCTTGGATGTATTTTGGTCCTTGCTGGGCACCGTAGTGAAGCCAGCTGGTGGTTTCTGCTCCACGGGGACTCGTCTCTGAGAAAGTCTTTAAACTGGCGTTTGAGGAGACCCTCCCTGTGGGTTTACCTGAATCAGCTGATGCAGGTGTTTGCTTTTTGAGCGACGGGTCTGACGGTGCATTTATGAAAGTTTCACCAGCAGCTTTGTTCCAACGTCCCATTTTTGGTTCTTTTTAAAACACAGGAAAGGTTTCTCTGTACCTTGCTGACGTTTCGTTTGCGGCTGCAAACATCCTCTGAGCTGATGGTGGCTGGAGGCAACGCCCTCTGCTGCCCGCGGGTACACAAGAGTAGGAAGTGATGCCACCATCAGCGTCAGCAAGGTAAAGAGAAACCTTTCCTGTGTTTCAAAAAAGAACCAAAAATGTAATTTGAAGAAACAACCACTAGGGGGTGCAGTGGTGGTTTGGCAGGGAGACCATTTCTGGTGCTTAACCTTCACAGGTGAGCTCTGCTGCTGGTCATCATCAGTCTTTAGATCGTTATGGTTCTGCTGACGTCTGTGAGCTTAGCTACGATGCATCCCGGCTGAATCGGTTAATCCCATCATTTTTAAAATAAAACACATGATAAATGTACCACGAGTGAAGGGCTTATCACAGATTCAGTAGTCTAAATTATTAGCTGCAGTAAAACCTAAGTGGTTACCATGGCAACATATTTATAGACTCGTGTAAATAAGTTCTTCAGTCTGCCAGAACAACCCTCCAGGCAGGAGTTTAAGGGTCGTTTTGGAATGAAGCCATTTTCCTTCTATTAGGTGTAAAAACAAAGGTTCTGTTTTTAAATTATTTACGCTTCTGAAATGTTCTGAGACCTTGTTTTATTTCCTGTGACGAGAGTAAAAAACATGTAAATCACAACCTGTTGAAGACATCTGCTTCATGTTTTATTTCCTTTGTTCATAAAAAAAAGAGCCAAACAGAAGTTTCCCGATTCCCTTCTAGAAACATTCAGCTGCAGACAGAAATCCCTTAAAGTGGTTAAAGCTGCGGTCGGTGCAGCGGGGTAAGGCGTCGTGGTGCTTAAGCAGCAGAAGCATGAAGAGCTTTTTGCAGTTACGTATCACAGCACAGTCTCGGGCTCCTAAAGGCGTAAAGCTGAAGCTAAAAACATGTTAGAATAAAAAGATGATCCCGAACCAAAGTCCGGGTTAATCAGCTACCTGAGCAGGAAGACAAGTTAAGGCTTGGAGGGAAAAGGTGCAGCTCCAAATGGGTCAAGGTCCACTAGAGGTGCCGCCACCTGCTGCTGTTGAGGTCCGCTACCGATGACCAGTTCTGTGAAAGGCACCGCCCCAAAATCATCCATGGACCTGCTGTCTCCGCTGCGATGCGAGCCCATCCAGGACTTACCGCTCTCCGTGGGGTGGAACGGTTTGGCCCCAAACGGATCTAAGACTGGATCGTCCACCGCCGCCGCCTTGTCCTTGCCTTCAGCCACAGTGATGTCAACGCTGATGTTCTCTTTCGAGTCGGAGGCACTCAGGAACTCGTTGCTGCTCTGAGAGTCTCTGCGGCTGACCTTCTTGTGCCGCCGGACCTTCTCTGGGGTGCGGTACGTCGGCTTGTTGCTCTTGCGTCCGCCGGTTGGGGTCCCGTGATGCCGCTTCCCGTTGCTGCCCCCTGCAGTCACTTCCTGTTTTGTTTTCCGTTGTCGTGATGACAACTTCTGGAGGCTGCGTTGCTTCAGCCTCTGCTGCTGAGTGGCCAGATCCTCAAAAGATGAGCGAAATATGTCATCTGCGCTCTTTGAGGTGGTAGGAGGAGCTTCAGTAGGGCCCGGGTGGAAAGGGGAGAAGCCAAAGACATCGATGCTGTCCGGGGACATGGGAGGCGTCTGGCCCATGGGAACGTCGCCGCTGCTCTTTCCAGACTTGGAGAGGTTGCAGCTGAACGGTGCTTTGGTAAAAACATCAAAATCATCAGCTGCCGGCTGGTCATGGCCAACCTGCCTGAAAGGTGCTTTGAAGAAGATGTCAGTACTCTCTGAGGGTCCGACAGGCGAACTTCCTCCAAGGAAGGGAACAGCACCAAAGACATCCACGTCCTTCAACACAGTGGCTCTGCTGGGAGACACAGGGGGGGTGATCAGACTCATGCCCTGCGGAGACCTGGAAGCAGCTTCTGTAGCTCCTCTGGGCTTCTTTGAGCGGCTCTTGACCCGGCTGAGGTCGGAGTCTGAGTCCGAGCTGTGTTTGTCTTCTTCATCCTCCTCCTCAGAGTCCATCAGCAGGGGACGCTGTCCCAGGTTCTCCGGCTCCGTGTCCTCACCATGCTCACTGTTCAAGGCCTCCTCTTCCTGCTCTTCTTCCTCGCTGCTCTTCGGAGATGGTGGGTCAGACTCAAAGTCACTTTCTGACTCTTCCCCAGGTTTAGAGATGCTTTTTCTGCAAGGCTTGGCCTCTTTGGCTGCGTCCGGACCCTCAGGAACCTCTGTGTTCTGCTCACTCTTCATCACGCCGGCTCCTGCAGGAACACCAGAAACTGTTAACCTGTGTGTGTATGTGCGTGGCGTACTCTGCGCGGTGGGAAGAACGAGCTTAAAGGTCGAGGACATAGATGCCTTTTAAAACTCAAAATATCCCTTAAAAAAAATGGAAGCACCGACTCGGGTCGTCTGCCCAGACTTGTCCTTCCTGCTCCGGTCTAATTTCTGCATGTTGGAGGTGTTTAATTTACAAAGTATCTTGTTATTTATGTCCGGGAGATTTGAATAAACCTAAAATGAGCCTAATTAGCAGGTGGAGCGTCTCCAACTGTATTGAAACTAAAGAAGCCAATTTGAGTTTAGAGGGAGCTCTGAATCAGGAGACCCCTGCTGTGAACACGGAGACGGGAACCTTTTCATCCTGACTGGCAGGACGACACCAGGAATCAGCCAAGAGAAGCTATGAAGCATAAAAAGATCTGAATACAAACCAGCATGTTCGGATCACAGATTACAGCTCCTATTCCCGTTCGCGACTCCAGAGACGTCTTAATAATCAGACGTCGTCCTCTGGGAGGAGACTGACTGCACGCTGCCTGGGCTCTGGCAGAAGACGAGTGGACATAAAAAATAAACCAAATAAAATCATCTCTGACTTGTGGAGATCAGGATCGCTTCTCCTCTGGGCTTGTTGAAGCGTTCAGCCTCCTGAACCCACAAGAGAAAACGGTTTTCTTTAATCTTTTCTTCTCCATCAGCCAGAGGCAAACATTTCCTTTAATCTTAGAAATCCCAAACAAACACAAATCCTCTGGTTCTGTTCAGCCCGATGATCTGCTGAGGAGAGCTCATCTCAGACCCAGGAACGGCTTTTTTACCCCCACATGCTGCCGTTTGGTGTTCAGGACTGAATCAGCAGTGCTTTTAAAATCTTTTCTGTATCCAATAAAGATTTGAGTCATAAATCAGGGTTTACAACTTTTAAGTCTTTATGTACATCTGCATGGTTATTTTGCTCTAAAACTGCAGGTTTAACCACTAAAACGTTCTAATTAAAATAGTTTTACTAAACCGCTGGAGAAACGGGACTCTTGTGCGTCAGCTGGCTAAACAGGACGAGGAACTGGGACAGCCAAACCAGGAACATCTTGTTGTGTTGGAGTCAACAGCTTCTAAGTAAATAAAAACACCCAAAGTGATTGATTTTACATGTTTATTTATCAACACTAGAGAAACACATTCACAGCAACAGTTATGATACAGGACCGTTTACACGTGAGAGACAGGTTAGTGATCTGTTGCTTCTGTCTGACTTCAAGTAAAACTTCAATATTTTATTGTGAGAAGGGTTCAAATTTGACCTGTACTGAAACCAGATTACACTCTAAAATAAAAGCAGGTAAACGAGGTTTTTCTTTGGGACGTGAATGACGTTTCTGCACCGCCAGCAGGGCTTTAAAGGTTCATGGCTCGAGTTTGTCCCAGCTGGAGCTGCGTCGCCCAAAAACACAAACAAGATGTTTCTGAGGATGGCTGTGACCTCACGGAGGAAAACCCATAAAAGCGGGTGGTGAGGGGGGTTCAACTTACCTTCAGCTAAACGCTACCCAGTTAAATGTGATGAATGAGGGCTCAGGGCTGACCTCTGACTCTTATTTGGGACCTAAAGCAGGTCACGTTTAGTTTTGCAGCCGAATTAAACATTTCTTAAAATAAAACTTTTTTCCCAACATTTACATCATTTAGTTAAACTAACATTAAAGTCCACTTTAAAAAAAATAATCATTTTATGTTGATTTTACTTTGAAAACCCCCAAGAGGGATCCAAGTTCCAGAGCTTAAATCTAAAGACTTTTATACTTTAACTTCCTGTGTCCCAGCCATCCCACCCAGCCGCCGACAGTCCTGACCATCTGGGTGGGACGTGGACACAAAATCTCCACTAGAGGTCACTAAAGCTCAGACTTGAATACTGTTGAATCAGATTTTTCAGTTACATAAATAAACTCGGAACTTTTTGTTTGGCAGCTTTTCTACAACATTTTGGTCCAAATTTACAGAAACCTCTAAGATCTCAGCTATTTTGGCTAAATAGGAGTTTAATATTATTAGCTTTCCCATAATAATCAGTTGCGTGTCAATTAGTTTCGAATCTGTTGGCTCCATGATGCTAACTGGATCCAGGTAAAGCAGCTCTGATGCTAACTGGATCTGAGTAAAGCAGCTCTGATGCTAACTGGATCTGAGTAAAGCAGCTCTGATGCTAACTGGATCCAGGTAAAGCAGCTCTGATCTGAAGGAAACCAACAGCACACTCGTGGAAACAAACATAAGGCTGAGAAAAACACACAAGGAACTAAAAACAATCCGATTCCTGTGGTTCTTCAAGCACCGAGCATGTCGGCAGTGGGTGTTGAAACACGTCTGTATGCTCTGTGTTTGAAGAGCCACAAACATCTCGATTGGATAAAAACAGAACGACTGACGAAGACGTTGATTCCTTCCAGGCAGCAGGAATGAAACTCCGTTTGTCTCCTTTAGTTTTGGTCAACAGTCAGGTGCTTCTAGAGTTTATTGCATGGTTTTACCGATCCTAGCTGAATGAAAGCAGACTCGTATTTACAGGAAGACGCAGAGGCGCAGACGCTTGTTGCAGAGTTCAGCCACGTGCACGTATGTGCACTCCAACTGTAAACAACCTTTAAAATACAAACAGATATTTTTCTTTTATCTGGGGCAGCAGTAGCTCAGGGGGTAGAGCGGGCTGTCCAGTAATCAAAAGGTTGCAGGTTCCATCCCAGTTTTGAGCAGAGAATGCTGCTGTTGTGTTCTTGGGCAAGACACTTTTGTCCCTTTCCCACTAGCATCAGCTCCACACCGCCCGGATAGCCCCAGCTGATTCCACACATCCTTGCTTAGCTCATTCGCTGCCAGAGTTTCTCACCGTTTTTACGGTTTTTTTAAGAGTCACAGAACGTTGCACGTTAGGATGATGTCGACGCCAAAACAACCAAAACAAAGAGTAGACTCACCTCTTACATTAGGAAGAATCCGCGTGTTTCGAGCGTTATCTGTTCTTTCATAATCCGTTGTCGAACTGTGATCGGCAGAAGCTTTGCCGGTTCGCGCCTCACTTTTCTTTTACAGGAACGGCCCAAAACGATCTAACACATGGATTTTCTGCTTCCTGGACGTGTGACGTGTGATGTATGCGGATGAAGATTGGCTTTAGAGCTGAGATGTTTGTTCTCTCGGCTCGGGGGCTCGTTCCGATGCCCAAACAGTAAAAAAAATGTAAATGACGACTTTAGTTGTCAATGGCAGTGAATGAGTTAGGAATGCAGGTAGAGAAGTTCTCAGCTCCTAGGTGATCAGCACGATAACGCCGTAAGTCCAGGTGGGCTGATTCTTCCCACCAATCAGAGGCTTCCCTTAATGGAAGGTGTGAATTTGAGCCGGCTCATCAGTCAGCAGTGGGTGTGTTGGTCGTGGTCGGTCTGAAGCAGACCACCTCAGGAAGAGGGCTAAAAACAGTCCGGTTGCACCCAGAAAAGAGGCAGGCTATGCTAATGTGGACACTCAATGCTATCCAGACCATGCAGAGCTGATGCTAGTGGGAAAGAGGCTTTAACCCTGCTGGTGGTGGTCAGAGGGACCGGTGGTGCCCATGTTCAGGGCGCCCCAGGCCAGCTGTGGCTACATTGTAGCTCATCCCCACCAGGGTGCGGATGTGTGTGTTGTGAGGCGTCTTCGGGAGTTGGAGAACCCTAAGAAGGCGCTATAAAAAAACAAGCCGTTTACCATGTGACAAAACTCAACGGCCCCATCCAATGTAAACGAGTCGCAAACTTGGGAAATTCAAGTTTTCTTTTTGTAGGAGGTACCGGTACCAGCCCAAGAGCTAGGTACCATCAGTACTGGTCACAGGCTGACAGCCATGGTACCGTTGGTACTGGTACCAGCCCAAGAGCGTCTGTGACTCAAGACACATTTAGAAATAAAAATAATAAAGAAGAAGGTTTACTCTGTTCCCGTTTCAAAATAAGAGCCAATTATTATTATTACTGTTGTAACGGAGCGGTTCTGAGAGACTCTACTGGGTCAAACGGTAGCGCAACTCACAGAACTTCCTTCCTTCCTGTAGAATAACCGCTAAGTACTTTCTAGACCTAAAGCTCATAGTTGTTCTTATACAGTAAACGTCCAGCTTTCATCTGACAGACTCCGTTTTTAACCGGGACAGACGTGATTCTGCTGCTGTGGGTTAGGGTTCTGGCCGGTTCTGAAACAACGCTGGTTTGATTTTCTGCTGTAAACTAAAAGACCAAATAAAACAGGAGTGTGATGATTAAGTGAAGTCAGACTTTAACTCTTCCTGCAGCTCAACCCGACCCGGTTCCCTACAGCTGAGCAGGTAGAAAACGGGTTGGTCCAACAGCACCATGGTTGGATGTGAATTTAAAGGCTCGGCCCGGTCTGGGATTTGGGTTCTAGTCGGCGCTCCTGTAACGTCCTCCATAAACCTTTATCCAACCAGCTAACATCCCAGCACCGTTCCAGCTAATTTGCATAAATGTTAAAGCAGAACGATGAAGTCGGGTTTGGAGAACGTTGCTGCTTCTCCTCCATACAGAAGCTAATCAGAACCATTTGGGTTTGTGGGTTCCGTGTCGGGTCCTCATGGTAGAGACTCCTAAGACTTGCCTGCGTTGGCCACAAAAGGGGCGGAGCCAAACAGATCCTCCAACGGGGGGGGCTTGGTGATGGAGGCTGCGGGCAGCTCCGCCTCCACGCTGCATGTCCTCTCCACCGGCTTTTCTGTTTGAGGAACAGGAAACGGTCAGAAACAGGAATCCAGATGCATTCTGGGAGGAGACTGAAGCTTCACTTGCTTGCTCGGAGCAGGTCGAACTCCCGATCGATCAGCTCCTCCTCAGTTAACTTAGAGAAGTTGTCTTCTCCAAAGGGGTTCCAGCCCGACATGTCGGGGGGGTTGGTGATGGTGGTCCCGTCTGTGGTGACCAGCGGGTTTCTACAGCGGAGAGAAGAACCAACATTCAGACCTGCTCTACGCCCATCGATCCCCAGAACCTGCTACTGAGTATCGGCAGGTGTTGGACTACCTGGTGTTGGTGAAGGGTGGGTCCGCGGGACCAGGTCCCACCGCCTGGGCAGGTCTAGGAGTGGGCGCTGCAGCATTAAAAGAACCCAGCTGGAACTCGAGCGGGGAGGACATGTAGGGGACGGGCTGCTGCTGCTGGACAAAGGCCTGCTGGTACTGCTGCAGCTGTTAGGGAGGGAAGAGAGGGAGAGACGGGGATGGGAATGAAGGACGGACCTTTGACTTCATGGTGCAAAGTGAGGATGAAATGTTGTTAGAAAAAGTTCTGGAATTGGAAAACTGGGGAAACAGTGAAGGGGAGGGACAGAGGAACGTAGAACCTGAGAGAACAAATAAAGACATGCAGGAAAGTTTCCGTCAGACTCAGAAAGATCTAGAAACCTGCCACTGATCCAACATCCTCCTGCTCCCTAACCCCCGTCCTTGCCACCAGGAAGTTTCAACAGCGACTTTTAACCTTTTCTAGCATTTAACCTTTTTCTTTTACTCCTAACCTCTTAAATTCCCTTTTGAGGTTTTGTAATTAGAGGCACTGCACACCATCAGAAAACGTAACTCCACCCCTAGTCCAGATTTGAACAATGCTATGAAAGTGGGCGTTGCCAGGAGGCACAGAGTGGCGTGGCCAAGTGGTGGTGGTGGTGGGAGGGGGGGGGGTCATCCTGGGAGGGAAGGGGGGTGGGAGGAGACTGTACCGATGACGTGAAATAGTTCCAGCCCCAGCCAATCACACGTTTAACATGCAGTAGCCGCTGTTCTGCCACAGGGGGCAGCACTGAGACGTTTTTTTTAGACGTAGATTCTAGATTTAATCAAGTTTACACAAACTTGTTATAAAATGCACAGAAACAGAAAGATTGCTTTTGTAAAGACCCAAGTATACAGTTTATAAGCACAAAAATGTTATTTTGGGGGTTAGTTACTCTTTAAACATATGAATCAAGTTTATTTATAGAGCACTTTCCACAACCCTGGAAGGTGACCACAGTGCTCAACATCAGACAGGGCTCTTGCAGGTTTCAGTAAGTTACATTTAAGACCACCACAACAGACAAGTAGTCCCAAAAATTCAAGACCTTTTTTTTTTAATCAGCTTTGTAATCTTTAATCTTTAAGTGGTTTCACTAAAGCCCCAGCATTTTAGGTGTGATCTGGCTGAACCAGGAGTGAGAGGGAAGTGTATGTGTGCTATTACATGGTACAGCTGTCAATGCTGATGCAAGGCCTTGGATTTCAATGTAGTGATCTTATTGTTGACAATAAATGCTGTAAGTTTCCTTTTCTCTGAGTTTAGTATTGATTGATAGATCTACATCAACTAGATCTTTTAAGTATGGATTGATAGATCTACGTGAACTAGATCTTTAAGTTAACACTGGAGAAATAAAAATAACACAAACAAAGTGTTATTCAACCACAGTGTTGAATTCTAATTTGAGTAAAATTAACACTGAAAATGTAACACTGGCTAAAGAGTAAATATGACTATTTTCGAGTGGGACCAAATGTGTTCTGAAACAGTAAAATTCAACTCTCTTGGAGGTGTAACGACACTGGATGAACATGTTTCTCCAAGTAAAAGTCAGACATTTAAGGTCAATTATTCATGCCAACATGAAGGTGCTTTTGTGCATTTGATCTGTGGAAGATGCAGAGCAAAATCCTACAAACAGAGCTCTCTGTTGGCACTCGCTGCTCTTCACCATAAGCTACGACTTGGGAGTCAGGAAGAAAAGCAAGACCAAGCTCATCCTAGAGGTTGAGATACGAACCAGATCCCCAATCACAAAATCATGCGTTAATAGTTGTTACGAGCAGGCAGGGAAAACTTTCTGCTTCGGGGAGTGTGCTCGACGCCGCTTCAGGTGGACAACGTCAGGAAGGACTCCCACTGCATTTGTAAAGCCACTAATGTTGCCCTGTGTGTTACTTTGAGGCTTGGCACACAAACTATGGCTTTTAGTCATGACACCTTCTTTGTAAATATGTGTATATAATGCAAATACGTGTATACTACAAATAAGTGTATAAGCTGCAAACATGGGCTGCATGGTGGCGCAGTTGTTAGCACTGTTGCCTCGCAGCACGAAGGTTGTAAATATGTGTATATAATGTAAACGTGTATATATCATATATGTATATAATGTAAATATGTGTGTATAATATAAATATGTATATATACTGCAAACATGTGATGCAAACATGTGCATATAATGCTAACATGTGTATATATCATATATATATGTATATAATGTCAACATGTGTATTTAATGTAAACATGTGTATATACTGCAAACATGTGTATATAATGTAAACATGTGTATTTAATGTAAACGTGTGTATATACTGCAAACATGTGTATATAATGTAAACATGTGTATATAATGTAAACATGTGTATTTAATGTAAACGTGTGTATATACTGCAAACATGTTTATATACTGCTAACATGTGTATACACGTATATAATGTAAACATGTGTATATAATGTAAACATGTGTATATAATGTAAACGTGTGTATTTAATGTAAACGTGTGTATATACTGCAAACATGTGTATATAATGTAAACATGTGTATATACTGCAAACATGTGTATTTAATGTAAACATGTGTATTTAATGTAAACGTGTGTATATACTGCAAACATGTTTATATACTGCTAACATGTGTATACACGTATATAATGTAAACATGTGTATATAATGTAAACATGTGTATTTAATGTAAACGTGTGTATTTAATGTAAACGTGTGTATTTAATGTAAACATGTGTATTTAATGTAAACGTGTGTATATAATGTAAACATGTGTATTTAATGTAAACGTGTGTATATACTGCAAACATGTGTATTTAATGTAAACGTGTGTATTTAATGTAAACGTGTGTATTTAATGTAAACGTGTATATAATGTAAACATGTGTATTTAATGTAAACGTGTGTATTTAATGTAAACGTGTGTATTTAATGTAAACGTGTGTATATACTGCAAACATGTTTATATACTGCTAACGTGTATACATGTATATAATGTAAACATGTGTATATAATGTAAACATGTGTATATAATGTAAACATGTGTATATACTGCAAACATGTGTATTTAATGTAAACGTGTGTATATACTGCAAACATGTTTATATACTGCTAACATGTGTATACACGTATATAATGTAAACATGTGTATATAATGTAAACATGTGTATATAATGTAAATAAGTGTATTTGATGTAAGCATGTGTATATACTGCAATTATGTGTATATAAATAATATAAAGTTGAGTACTGAAAATGGTTCATTACAAATGTGGTTTTCACTGCAACATATGTCATTTTTCTCTAAGCAGATTTGGATTTTTTGAGCACTTTCAGGTTCAGTGTGCTAATAAAGTATGTCAAAATGAAGAAATGACTAAAAGAATGATACCAAACAAGCTAGAAACAATAAAATATGAAATCAAATATAAAGGTGAACACTAAATCTGGTCAAAATGGCAATACCACCGACTCCAGAAGGTTAAGATCAGATTACTTTTGAACAGTTTTCTGACTGAATCTTCTGTTGGGCGCTCCTGCTCTAAGCAGCGTTGATGATCCGATCTATGGTTGAAGTTTGTGGGTGAAGCTCACCTGAGACGCGTCTGACTGAGAAGGTCTAGAAGTACTAGTTTTCTGAATATTGGGAGACTGAGTCTGTCTCTGCCACTGATCTGAGTGAAAAGGTTGTTCTGATACTAAAGGAAGTGTGCAGCTCTGACGCTTCATGCTGCGTGTCCGTGTGCTGCTGGGTCAGCTCAGCAAACCATTTACTTGGTTGCAGGGTGAAATCTGAGATTCTGTCAGAACATCAATGAAGAGCATTCAACATTACAAAGAAAAGTAAATTCAGTCTCGATGGAAACTTGTTTTCATCTGGATCAGAACTCACCATGGCGGCATACTGGGCCTGGGCCACCTGCTGCTGATACATCGGCTGCATCATCATCTGTTGTCGTTGCATCAAGTCCTGCTGCACGGCCTGTTGGTACTGAAACATGTCGTAAACCATTAAAACCGTCTTCTCTCTCTCTCTCTACCCATTAGCGACAGGACCAGGTGACGACTCTCCGGTACCTGGAGGTATTGGAGCTGCTGTGCGTTTGTATGTTGCTGCTGAACAGCTTGTTGTTGTTGTAGCTGCTGCAGGCGCAGGTCACCTGGCTGCAGCTGCTGCAGGACGCGGTGCTGCTGACTGCTGGGTTGGACCTGCAGGGAAGGCTGTCCTGGGCTGGGAGTGGAAGCTGAGGAAACCAAATGGTTGGTTAGGATAATCCAGACCAACTTCCATAGGAACATATAAACCAGATCCATGTCATGCATGAACATGAAGGTCATGTTTGAACCTTTCTGGCCGCTGTCGACAGCCGCTGGAGACACGCTCATTTTAACAGGAGTCACGGTGTTGGTCAGCGGCAGCACGTTGGGGTTTGCAGCCTTGGGTCTCTGCCTGGGAGCTATCGATGTTTCAGTCGGACCCACCGAGTCCGTTATCCTGAAGGAGACAAAGTGTACACCTGCGTTACTAAAGTTCAGATGTGTGTGGAGCGTCAGCATCTCACCTGCTGTAGGTAAGTGGAGCACTCAAACAGTATTTAACACTGAGAAAAGTCATGAGATGATGAACGGACCGTGACATTGCCAACGTTTAGAGGACAAAATAAAAGCATTTATAGATCGTTTATCCAGGTTTATGCATCATAAAACCCACCTGGCTTTTGTCATGCTTTTCTTAGCAGCGACCTCGCTGGCTGTTAGAGGCTCGGGGAGCGACGTTGGGATGGGACAGTTCTGGAGGAGATCACCAAAAACAAGGATTAGTTCATTCCTGCAAAGATGAGAATTGCACAGATTGAGCTGAACCAGCGACTTACAGCGAGGTTCAGTACTGGACAGTCTTTTCCAGCTAATCTGAAGGCAAAGTAGGAGACTTGGTAAATGTCTGGTCTCTTGTCCTGGTCTGGTTCGAGCATATATCCTAAAAACACACAGCATGAAGAAAGAGGCTCTGATTCTCTGAGACAGACGTGCAGCTCCTCTGTTGGGCCACTAGGGGGAGCTCTTGGTCAAATATGGACATAAAGACAGAGGGAAGCTTCTTGTTAAAGGAAGAGAAATAATGACAGGCCTGGACTAGTTGGAACAGGCTGGAGTTGAGCAAATGCACAACAAAGAACCAAGTAAACAAACTGCAGCTGGTTTAACTATCTGTGGCTGAAAAACATTTAATTAGAAACTAAATGAAAATGGGTGAGACCAACAGGGTTGGGCATCGTTTGATTTAGAACGATTCTGATTCCTCATTTCGATTCCAATTCCTATCGATTCCCAATTCCGATTCTTTCAAGACATGACATGTTTTACATGAGCCAGCTAACCACAGGTCCTACTTGATGAAATAATCTTAACTTCAACATGAATTTTTATTCTATGAACAACAACATCACCTTCATTTAGACTAAAACATGTTTTGGAGAAAAAAAGAAAGAGACTTGCAGCACAACCAGTGTGTTTGTTTCTGACCACAACCAAACTTAAAGGGGCATTATGGAAGTTTGACAGCCAAAACATGTATAGAAGTAATAAATGTCTTCTTCATACATTCTCCTGCAATGCCCTGGTCCTGTAGAATGAGCCCTGGCATTTTTACTGTGATTGCCTGTTTTTCCGTAAAATCACAGAAAAAGAGAGATGCTCGGGTAGAGCAGGCTGCTTCATGCGCGTTCACGCTCAGGCATCATCATTTTTTTCATCATTTCTCTTTGTGCCAGGAGGCACATAAGGCAAGGACATAATTTTTCCACAGGGATCAATTTCCAGCTGCACTTCTTGTCGAGTTCCATGAACACCATCCTGCTCTGTTTCTCTCTGCCTCAGCCACTTGCCGCCAAGTTGTTTTAGGTCGGCCTCTTTTCCTTCGACCTTCAGGCGCCCAGCCTAGAGCCACAGCGCAGTCGCTCGTCTCCTCCTTTCGCAGCACATGGCCGATCCAGCTCCATCTCCTCCTCCTCACCTCATCGCTGATCCTCTCTGTCTGCGCCATCTCTAGCACTGTCTTGTTGGAAACATGCTGTTGCCACCAGATCTTAAAGATCCACCTTAGGCACTTCGTTTGGAAGGCGTCGAGTTTCTTTTCTTTTCCCTTTGTCCGTTTCCATGTCTCACATCCATATAGTAGCACTGACAGTACGCGGCTTTGAAACAGACAAGTCTTTGTCTTTTTGCTGATGTCACTGGCCATCCAGATGTTTGAAAGCTGTTTGTGCCTTACACTTGCCAATCCGACCCTCCTCAGCCCGTAGCATTTGCTATCTGTAGCTTTAGTCTTTGTCGCCGTTCCTAACGCCTAGTGATGAACCTAGCTACATTTCTGAGGACCCTTAGCTACTTTCTTCTAGATATTTCCTGCAAATTAGCAACAAAATAGCCATTTTCGCCCCGAACCGTTCTTTAAACGTTGTTTCAGCTGTCATCAAGGATATAAATGTTACAGATACAAAACCATCGTGGTTGTAAAGCCACTGGTGCTTTAGCTCACCTAGTAAGATGTCGGACTCTCGAGCAGAAGAACCCGGGTTTGATTCTGGATGTGAACGTAGTTTATTTAGAGTTTCTTTTTTACATTAATGGTATTTTTTTTACAGTAAGATGCCCAAATTTTTATTTGAGACTCGCCGAACGACATTGAATTCTCAGATAAAAAAGATGTGGGTTCAACTTTCATTTTGGAACAATTTTTCAAGCAAGGGAAGGGAATGATCTGAGCATGCAGGAGGACTGACCCATCTTAAACCTTTGTCGGCTGTGCTGAAGAGAAAGGTACAGAACTAGGGCTGCAACAAACGATTATTTGGATAATCGATGAATCGGACGGGGTCTCGACACGAATAATCGGATTACATGGGGACATTTTTAAAAACTACTAGGGAAACGTTATTTCTCTCCTTCCTTCACTTTATTGAACACAACATTATTAGAAAACAGTTCAATAGCAGAAAAACAACATGCCATCACCTAAATTGTCTTATAAGGTGTATAGACAGAGACCCTAAGCTACATCTATCTGTGACCTAAAATGCTTGGTCCAAGTTAAACAACTTGAGGGCAATTCTCATCTGTTTTGTTTGATCTCATCTGTAGACATTTATTATAACTGGGGATGTCAAACAACTAATTTTTAAATGTAATCAAACATAGGCTGTGAATTAATCAAAATTAATCACTACTTCCAAAAATGACTGAAAAAATACCAAATAAAACAAAAGTAAATGAATGCCATCCTCCTTGCGATGATGCCCTGGGCAACTGCCTTAAAGTCACATGAAGAGATGCTGCTGATCATTCCAATGATTCCAAAAAGACTCACATTAGGCCACATGAAAGCAACTGAACCCAAAAACATATTAACCAGTAAATAACTGCACTCTCACACAACACGCCTGCAGCAACAGTTAGGACTCCTCCCTCCGTTTTAAGAGCGTTTTAGCTTCCGAGGACATTGTGGTTGTAAAGCCACACGCTAGTAGTCTGGCCCCGGTGTGATCAACCAGTTTCTGCGGGAATGTGACGGTGGAACCGGTTCGCAGCAGCGCGAGTCCCCCCCCCGTTTATCTAATAGCGTCGCGCTTACGATTTTAGACTTTTTTTTTACGAGCTTAGGGCATGTCTAGCCTGTGTAATAATCCGGGGCTTGGGTGAATCACTTTTGAAAAGTTTTTAACTTACCCGGACACCGAGCTCTCTCCCTCCTCGCTGATGATTCGGCATGCTTGCGTTTAAGATGCTGCATCATCACCGTAGTACTCCCGTGCCATGCTAAGTCTGACCTACAAACGTTGCACGTAACGAATGTCTTCGCCTGATTTAACTGAAAATGCTCCCAAACTTTAGAAGTTTTTACTTTTTTTGGGTCTCGCTGCTTCTGCAATGTTCCTCTTCCAAACACCTGCCGGCTCTCCAGTCTGCGCGCAACGGCGGGCGGGAGGGGGCTTTTGGAAGAGTTGTGCAACACAACGAATCGATGACGCAATTCGCTGTCAATGCTTTTAGTAATCGATTTTCATCGAATTTATCGATTCGTAGTTGCAGCCCTATACAGAACCAAATTATTTAATTAATTAGCTGCGCGTTCTCCTGTCTGTCCTTCGGGCCCCACACACACACACACACACACACACACACGGGACTGTCTCAGCTGTTATTTTCGTTAAGGAGTGTGCACGTACAGCATGCGCGCCTCGTGCACGAGCCTACTATTGAAGCTGCCGTTACGCTTTTGGCCTGAGGGGGCAATCGCGAGCATAAAAATTCAAAAGTCCGTGAAGTCCCTTTAGATGTAGCTGCTGTCAGTAACAATCTAACAGATTTTTAACATTAAAACTCTCAACAGAAAAGGTTCAGAAAGGAAATTAAAATGTTCACAGCTTTGTGTGTGATTTATTATTATAATAATTATTATTATTAAAATTATTTATTGTGGCAGAAGCTGGTGTGGTGTCTGACTGCTGACGCTCCGTGTGTGTTTTTATTTCTGCAGTGAGACAAACTCACCTCACACCGTCCAGTTTGTTCTTTAAAGCTTCTATTAAATCCACCGTGTTGACGTATTTAACAAGTTTCCTCTATGCAGCAGGAAAAGGGTTGATCACAATTTGCAGATCACGTTTATTTTTCAACTAGGAATAAAAAAAAAAACTTTGAACGATTCCGGGATAAACTAACAGTTGGTCCCGGTTCCAATCGGTGCTCGATGCCCAACCCTAGAGACCGAGGTGTTTGTGTCAGAGTCATTTCAGCGATAAAAGCTCTAACATCCATCAAACACGCTAACAGATGTATTGCAAACGTGTAAATACTAAGAGAAAAACGATTCCCTCCAGAACCATCGGGACACGCTCGCTGGCTCCGGGGACAAACTCACGGATTAGGCAGTGCAACTTGAGGGAGAACTTGGAGTTATCTGGAACGATAAAGGTTCCGTCACATATGGCAACTTGACTCTCCCCAAATGGAAGCGTGAAGAAACACAGCTTGTACAACAAGCATCCAAGTGCCTGTGGAGGAAACACAAACACTGGTTAGTCAAACGAAAGGCGTTCGTTTCATTATGACCCAAAAATGAGTCAACGCTGCTGAAGCTTCAGTTTGGAGAAACACAGATTAGCTCTGACCAGATTGTTACAGTAAGACCAGTTCAAGGGGGATTACAGCAGATTAAAAACTAATCCCAACAGCTGATGTGAACCTTTCTGCTGTTATTTACAGCTGAGATCTGGAAAAGCTGCAGTCAGATAATGATCAATGACCTGCACTTTTATGAGTCAGACACTCCAAGGTGCCTGCAGGCTCTGCTCCATTTTTCATACATCTCCATTAATGTCCTTTTCTCTCCGTGAAAACAACTGACAGAGCAGTTCCAAACATCAGGCGTGCACGGCGAAGAGACACAGGAAACGTTCAGGAGAACGTGCTTCTGCCCTAAAGCTGCGGTGGGCTTCATCAGAACCTGAAGGTCTGAGGACTACTTCTCAGTGGCCTAGTGGTAGACAGGGGCAGCTGAATTATTTTTTGGGTTGGGTGCACTCATGCTGTCTGTTAGAAGTGCTAACCACATATCACCACTAGGAGACGCCCAAATACCATTCTTATAATAAAATCCTGGTTTTCTACCTCAGCATTAGGTATGTTTACCGGAACTCCAGGGTAGTTCCTGGGATGGGAACCTTGACCAGGAGATAGGACGTCCCAGTCCTCTCAGCTGTTGTGTCTCCATTCAAATCACTGCGTTGGCAGTGAGTGATGTCACTGATCAGCCTCAAAAAGCACTCACAGTAACATTAATAATATTAAAAGCATTTATTTTATAGAAGTATAATTTAATCCACTTAGAGGACAAGAGCAGCTCTGAGTTTTGTGAGACAAGCCGCGTTAATTACGTCTGTGGGGGAATTCAGTTTTCCGGATTTTAAATACGATCTGAATTTATTTGGATTTGCTTCCATTCTGCTTCACCAGCTACTCCTCTAACTTTACTGCTGACGTCTGCGGATGTCATTTCCTACTATTTTTACTAATTTTATAAAAATGAAAACATCAAGAAGGGTTTTACACCATTTTAATATAACTGATACTAACATTTATCTCTAAAGAACCACAAGGTTTTGTAACCTGGGTTCCTTTTAAGGGGCTGGATTGGGGGTTAAACCACCACTCCCCATGGGGATGGTTCAGATGCAGAGATGTAATTTTACCAGTAAAGGGATGACTAATGGGACTTTAACTAGCATTTTTTTTTACTTATGAGTTTAATTAACTTCCACTGTAGACCATAAGTGGAAAGTTGTGACCCTGGTGAACTCCCTCGGCACAAAACCCAGACGCATCTCTTGTGTTCCTGAAAGAAAACAGCTCATGCTAAACAGCTCCAGCGGGCTTCAGCATGGCTTCCTTGGTGCTGGAGATCCAGTTATAGGGACAGTTATCCTCACAGATCTGAGGAGGAGCTGTGTCCTGCCTCCGCAAAGGATCTCAGTCATGGTTTTAAGCTACAAACCTGACTTGTGGCATTTCTTATCAACTTTCTGGGATTTAGGAGCTTCTAACTCTAATTCCAGCTCCTCTATACTAATGGTTCCCACCCTTTAAGCCATGAGAACCCCTTTGTCTGTGTCCAAGAGATGAGACGTCTAAGCTGCAGCTGTTCCACACCTGCTTAAACTCCATTAAAACACGGATGGTTGGAAACTTTCTACAGCCGAATGAAGACAAGACTGAGATCTAGAGGCTGGTTGAAATGATAAATCATCCAAAAACAACAACAATAAAGTTTTAAGTATCAGGCGTGACATTAAAAGCAGACGCTTTGATGCTCCACCTGAGGAAGAGGCTGTAAGGCTTGTCACAAGACATTAATGCTGTTTGCTTCAGAGCCAGACAGGACACGGGGAACAAAATAAACTTGAATCTGGTTCATTTCCTATTGTTCTAAAACATTTTGCACATTGTTCTTGTTTTGAGATTTCTTTACATTTTAAGTTCAATAAAAGATTTATTTACTTATTTAATTTATGTTGCACACAGTGGATGTTCAGCTGTCTTTCACAATCATTGTACTGCTAAACCATGTTTATATATATATATATATATGTGTATATATATATATATATATACACATATACATACATATATATATATATATATATATATATATATGTGTATATATATATATATATATACACATATACATACATATATATATATATACATACATATATATATATATATATATATATATATATATATATATATATATATATACACATATACATACATATATATATATATATATACACATATACATATATATATATATATATACACATATACATATATATATATATATATACACATATACATATATATATATACATATATATATACATATATATATATACATATATATATACATATATATATATATATATATATATATATATATACATATATATATATATATATACATATATATATATATATATATATATATACATATATATATATATATATATATACATATATATATATATATATATATACATATATATATATATATATACATATATATATATATATATACATATATATATATATACATATATATATATATACATATATATATACATATATATATATATATATATATATACATATATATATACATATATATATATATATATATATATATATATATATATATATATATATATATATACACACATATATCAGCCTTAATAATTGGTTTTAGATATCGGCCATCTACAACAAAATTCTTTAAAAATCGGCATCGGCCTCTACTGAGATCCTCATCTGTGCCAGTCAACTTCAGGGTTCATTTCAAGATCCTGCTTCTGGTCTTTAGGGCCTTACATGGACAAGCACCATCTGGGGGTCTATGCTCTCCCTCCTCTGAGCGCCCTGACCTGATGCTGCCGGGGCAGACGGCTCCTCTGATGGCGTTTCCTTGCCTTACCTTACTTGGCTCATCTGGACTCAGCCTAATATAAATTTTTACTGATGTGATTGTGTGTGTGTGTGTGTGTGTGTTAATGTTTTTAAACTGTTATGGGAATTTGAGGTCATTTTAATTCTGTAAAGCACTGAGTCGCACTTTGCTTGAAAAGCGCCTTGTGAATAAAATCTGACTGACTGATCTCCTCAGTCCCTACACCCCCAGCAGGTCCCTGAGGTCCAGTGATCAGAGCCTACTGGTTGTGCAGCACCAGGCTAAAGACCAAAGGTGACAGATCATTTGCTGCTGTGGCCCCCAGACTCTGGACCTCTCTCCCCCTGAGCCTGAGATCAGTGGACTCAGTGGGCTCCTTTAAATTCACCTGTTCAGGCTCTGGTGGGACCTTCATCACCCTCTCCTGGTTCTGCTCTTTCTATCTATTCTGCCTTTCCCGGGATCCACTGATAATCTCCCCATTTTCATGACATTAATTTTTAAATCATTTTTATTATTCAATTTTTGTTCTTGTGAAGCATCTCATGATCTTCATCTTGAGGCGCTATTTAAAAGATAGCCCCCCCCCCCCCCCCCCCCCCAGTTCATATTAAAACATCAGATGGGGTTATAACACTTAAACAGAGCTCTGATTAGAGTACAGGGGTATAAAAAACTCACAATCTCAGCACAGACTACACTGTGGGGCCCAACCTTACCCAAATATCTGCCTTGGTGGTGATGGCTTTCCCTGCGTACAGGTTGATCATCTCAGGAGCCCGATAAGACAGGGTGGTGTACCTGTGGGACACAACAAGATGCTCACAGGTGGGTCAGCTTTGAGTTCAAACCTAAACCCAGATTAGTGTTAATCACACTGAAAATTCATGTGACCTGATAAAGTCAACCGAACACCACATTAGCAGCTCCTGGTTTCTGCTCCAGAGGATGATTTCTCCCGGTTATCCGTTATTCTGTTTGCTGTCGACCAGCTGGATCAATGTTTACAATACAGGAGTGCCAGGGAATTTCTGGGAGGGGAAAAGTGACTAGGAGATCGCACGGATTAGTCCGTAACCCTAACCTCAGTCGTTATTTCTCCATACAGAATCAACTTCTTCAGGACGTTAGCACACCACGATGGCTTCGGCAGTGAGTAACGTCACTGATAAGCATCAGAAGGCATCCGCGCAGATGAAAAAAGCTTTTATTCTGTCAACATGTGCTGTATTCTAACCAAATCTGGGGTCAGGGAGAGTGGCTGTGTGATGTAAAAAGCAGCGTTTAATGACCAGAAAATGTGTCGTTCATTACAGCGTTGTGGAGAGATTCTACAGCAAAGTCAGCGCTGTCTCTTGTCTTCTTCCATTCTGCTTCACCAACACTTCCTCCGTTTTTACTGAAACAGGCTGTTTGGAGACGTCTACTGATGTCATTTCCTACCGAGTTACAACCAATCAGCAAGAAGTTAACCACAAGTCCTGCTCAGCGACTCTACTAGGCCTTCTGAGCACCTACCACTGGCTCCTGAATTGGCTCGGAAAGGTGTCCGTTCAGTCCGGTGAAGTAGACACGCGTGCAGCAAAGGTCTGGAGTGGAAACGAGCCTAAAACAAAACGTCTGTTTCCTTCTGTTCACGACAATTCTGATTTTACGAGCTGCTGCTACTTAGAACCATTTTCTTGACTTTTATAAAACTGAGTTTTTGTGTTGTCTTCAATCGGAGAACGGCAGAGGCGTCTTGAATTGACCCAGGAGTTAATCAGCCATAAACGGTTACCTGATGTAAAGTTCTTCCAGCGATTCCAAAGGCTGGTAAATACTTCACTGAATAAAATCCTCTTGAATAGATCAAGAGTGGTCAAAGGTGAGTTTCAGGAGGTAAATTGCTGGACAAATGCCATATTTCCTCTACATAAAACAGGTTCAGAACTTCGGATTGAAGACCAGAGAGAGGAAGATCCTAACATGAATACTATTCTCTATTGTAAGATTCCCAGTATGAACCATCAGTGAAACTTGAGGGGATTCCCAGTTAAGTTCCAGTTGTGACACATACTTCTTTATTTCATCCTCCACAGTCGTCACTCCGTCTTTGTGAGGCATCAGAACTTTGTTGGTGGCGCTGCCGAAGTCACACAGCACATAGTGTCCCTGGTCGTTGAGGAGGATGTTCTCCACCTGAAACCATTTAAATAAAGTTACTGACTTCAAATAGGAGAAACACAACAGCCCAAGGGTTTATGGTTCAGTAACGTATGTGAGGGTTTGGTTTGTGTCCCTGTGATCTGAGGGTAAAGCTAGCTGGCTGGGCCCAACAGACAAGAGGATAGAGGAGCTGAAGGGAGCGTTCGGGTAGAGCGGGCTTTGGGAGGGATGAAGGAGAAATGACACAATCATCTCTGCTGAGCAGATTTAAAATGTTAGCAAGCGCTAACAGAAGCCCGTTTTACACACACAACATGCCAGCAAATCGGTGTAATATTACTGCAATGGTGTTTTATAAAAGCTCGAGGCCAGCATGGTGTTGTGCGAATTTTGCAGCATATGTTCCACCTTGCTTTGTGGTGACATTGTGGTGATGGTCTGTCTAATAGACGGCGATTGCACCTTGGCACAAGAGAGAGAGATGCCATGATGACATGGGGAGTTATTGCCAAGCTCCAGCCAGCAACTGAACTGATAACTAAAGTAAACGCGAGTGTTAAGTTTTGCTTTTTGAACAAAATCATCTGAGATTGTAAGCGGGAGAACTGCAAGGCTCCAGGAGCTTGTCTGCATTAGAGCTGGAGCCCAGATCACCAGAAACTGCCCGGGGACGGACACCTTTAGGAGCAGCTTGTTAAAAAAAAACGTGACGATTGCGGCTTTAATCACAATAAAAAGCAAGTTACATCCAAGATAAACAGAGGTCCACAGCAGCACAAGGACCACCGCCATACCGCCTTTATGCCACCATTGCCTAATCTTTTATAAAAGGAATACGACTGCACCACACTAACACCAGAACCATTAATTATGTTTCTTTAATAATTCACTGAACAAACTAGTAAACGGCTCAATCCATTAACCCTGATGAACCTAATCGGTTGGGTAGATTACAGGCTTGTCTTGAAGACATAAAAAATTGGATGACTCAAAACTTTTTGCTTTTAAATCAAGACAAGACTGAAGTTCTCATCTTTGGACCTGAAATCCGGAAAAGGAAATTGCTTAGTCAATCACCTGACCCGAATGGCATTAAATTAGTCTCCGAGAACAAAGTAAGGAACCTTGGTGTTATCTTTGACCAGGACATGTCATTCAAATCCCAGGTTAAACAGGTTTGTAGGATTTCCTTCTTCCACCGTCGGAATATTGCTAAGATTAGAAGCATCCTTCCCAGGAGTGATGTATTACGTTGAGTCACATTTTCACCTGACCCACGTGGTACAGCTTCCTAAAGGGACATCTATTCATTTTCTATTATCAAATTTATTGACATGGGAAAAATGATTGATTAGAGTCAGAAATTTAGATAATGATACATTTGATTTATCGCCCAGCCCTACGGGAAACTGAGAAAAGGTTGAAGCAGCAATGATTAAATATTCTCCCCTGTCTGGATCAAGTTGTTCCTAGACTTGGATAAATAACTAAACCCGGCCCAGAAGCATCTCTGCTCCTTGTCCAGAGGAGACAGGTGTTCTCACCTTTAGGTCTCGGTGGATGATGGGCGTCTTGCATTGGTGTAGCCGAGCCACGGCTTCACAGGTGTCACAGAAGATGTGGAGGACCTCTGCCTCGCTGAAGCCCACATTCAACCGCTGATTCATCTGCTTCACCACCTGACCCGCTGTGGAGGTGGGGTGTTAAACTCCGTTATCAAAGCGTTTGAACCTTAACTCGTCAAGCAGGAGTAACCTTTACTTGTTCTCGTTTACAAACACAACCTGGCCAACATGTCTCAGAGACTTCATGAAGTAAATTAACATTTGTGAATGAAGATGAAAAGAAAACTGATGAAGATGAATCAAATTAAAACATTAAGCAGTTAAAATTGAGAAAAGTTGAGAAAGAGCAATAAAAAGCAAGTTATGTGAACCTTTAGATTGTTATCCACTCTGCTGTGGTCTGCTAGGGGCTGCAGATGTTCCAGCGGAGCGTTGCTGGACCAAACTTTGGTCTGGTTCACTAGGCTACACGTCTACACCACTTCAGTATAAATAAAGGTGTTGGGCCTGAGCTGAGGCCAGTAAAACAATCATTGCTGCACCTGACAGTAATTACAACAACAACAACCTATAAAACCATCAACCGAACACTGAGGGTTACTATGAACTTGATGCATTCATGTCCCCGTTTGACATAATCAGCAGAAGCAGATCATCAACATGGCTCCTTCTGACAATCAGAATAAAAGCAGTTTGTCTCAAAGGTAAAAAAAAAAAAAAAACACTAAATGAATCCAAATTTTATTTCAAAAACAATCGTTCACTGATGTAAATGTTTCCATGTTCTTAAATTTACGTGTAAAATAAGTGAAAAGAGAGAATGCACTCATCTGAAAGGAGCCTCTAAAGCCTCCGAACCTCTAAAGCATCACAAAAGTTTATTTAACTGTACCTTTGCAGAACTCCATGAGAATCAGGACCTCCCAAACGCTGTCTGAAACGGCGCTGATGGTGGAGTCCAGGTATCGAACCACGTTCTTATGACCCGACAGCTCTTTCTGAAAACGAGACAAAAACATGGAGGTGATCAGAGCGACAAGACAAAGCATTTCTTTACACAGTAAAACGTCCGTCCGTCCGTCCGTCCGTCCGTCCGTCCGTCCGTCCGTGCGTGCGTGCGTGCGTGCGTGCGTGCGTGCGTGCGTGCGTGCGTGTGTTATACACTGATCCAGGTAGAGAACACACTGGAGCAGCTCGCTGACACACCGGATTCGTTTTGTGTGATAGGACTCAGATGAACATAATGTGCTTTATAATCAAATATTCTATAAAACTTCAGCTTCTCCAACCCTAACCACCAGCTTTAGCTACACGTGTCGACCGTGAAGTCCAACTGGAAGCCTTCAGCCCTTGTACAACTGTAAAGGCCAGATGTGCACAGATGTTACAGCCATCGCCCAGCATTGCTCTCCCCCTCTGGAGTATCAACTGTAAACCGTTTTACTCTCCGCGGAAGTTTGCTTCGTTCATTCTAGCCGCTGTTTACATGCCACCAGCCGCGGACGTGCACGAGGCTCAGCACGTGCTCGCGGAGCAGACATTGTGCATGGACTCCCTCCTCATTGTTCTGGGAGATTTTAACAAGGCCAGTCTGAGCCAGGCGCGTCCCAAAAGCAAACACTATATTAAACGTCCAACCAGAGAGGCGAAAACACCGGACCAGTGTTACGACACGGTCTGGACGCCGATCACGCAGTGCCTCGTGCTGCTCTAGGATCCATCTGATCCTAGCGTACAGTTGTGAGGTCTACAAAACAGTGGAGAAACGATTCTGCAGATGAGCGCTGCACATGCTCAGAGACCACAAACTGGGATCTGGCAGCTTAGATGAATACACATACTGATGTAGCGTGGCTCAAGGCCTGCATTTCATCACATGGTCCAAGCTGACTTTCTTTAACATACAGGTCGTGCCAACCTGACACAGGAGGTGTCGACAATGAAGAACTCCTAACTTATCCATTATCCGGTATCTCCAGACTCTGGCGTCTCTGAAGACTTTATCTAATTCCCTTTAACAAAGTTTATTTTTCTGGCTCATAGAAGAACTTAGCTAACTTTACCAGTTGTTACAATCATGTTCTGTGTACCTACAATGTTTTAAATCTAATGCTGAATGCTCTACAGTAATGAATATTAAGTTAACACGAATGTTCATTACTACAATGATTATTTCAGACCTTATTTACACCACATTAGTTTATTTGTGGTATTTAATGATTCATAAGTAGCTGCGTCTCTAATTCTCGTCTCCCTATATTATCGTTTCATTGTTTATTTCTAAATTCTAACTTTGCTCAACATTTATTTGTTCCTGCACATAAAACCGCAGCAGTTGTGATTCTCATAAGACAACAAACCCTTCTGATTCCGATAGGGAGACATCGTCCTTGGGAGTCGTGAGGGTAAGAAGTAGGAATTATGTGAACAGATAAAACTCCTCACCATGATAGTGATCTCCCTCTTGTACACATTCAGGTCCGGCAAGTTGTTGACGTACATCCGTTTGAGCGCACAGCGAACGCCACTGTGCGTACGAGCCAGGAACACCACAGAGAAGCCTCCTGTAAAACACACACACACACACTTATCATGAGAAGCTGTTCTGGCGTCTACTGAGAGGGAGTCGTGTTGATCTAATAAATACGATGACTCATCAGGGGACGGAGAGGCAGGGTACTCAGAGTAGTTTCTGCTCGTTAAACAACAACAGGCAGCTACAGCTTGTAATCTTGACTCTCCCATATTCCAGTCAAAACTGACAAAGCTCCTCGGGTGAGAAGCGAAACGTCTTAAAGAAACCAAAAAAGTCCAGTTGCCTCCATTTGAACCCTTTTGGACTTCTTCAGGCTTCAGAATGAACGTGTGGCAGAGAAACATCAGCATGCTCTCATCCCTACTTCCTGTTTTGCTTCAGTGCCTGAACTGGGCCTGCTCACATGGGTAGAGAGAGCTCTCTAATTGGATAACGTACAGCCATATTTAAGCCTGCATCACATTAATATCTCATTACTTTTGTCTGTGAAGGGAGACCTTAGAGGAAGACGCTGACCTTTGACCTGACAGAGTGACTGTGATGTCATGTTAAAGAACAAGTTCTCTGAAACGTGGACTGGACCGCTGCCGTGATGAGATGTATGGTGGAGAAGTAAAACACAGATTAGTGTGCGGTAGCTTGTATTTGGTCACAGCAGCGATCAGATTAGGGCGGCTGGTGTTCTTCTGCAGCACAGAACATGCAGATAACGGGACGTCGCTCTGACATGAAACTTGAATGTTTACGTGTGAGAGGGGTTTTATCTGCTCGCATCACCACGAAGCTCAGACAACTCCATCCAACTGTCACAGCTGTTTGCTGCAGACCAACAGAAACACATGCAGCTGCAGACATGAACCTGTTAGACCAGGGTCTCTCAGCCCTGGGTTAGGGTCCTACATGTTCTCCATGTTGCCCTTTCAAACACCAGTGGTTCTCTGCTGCCGTACACCTGACTTCAACTAATCACTGATTAACAGGTTTCTGCAGCACTTGATGTCCTCCTGAGGAGGCTACTCAAATATGTATATCAGGTGTGCTTGAAGCAGACACACTGCAAACATACAGGACAGAGGGGTGCTGAGGACCAGGGCTGAGAAACCCGGAGTTCTCAGGTCTGCTCTGATGTGGAAGCTGGACAGGCCGGAGCTCAACTGGAGGATTCTGATCCATCCGCGTGGCAGGTACAGGTGATAGGTCCAGACCTTTCTTACAGCCTGTGTGGGTGTATTATGCGTCGGTGCAAGGGCTCTTGACAGGCTCACAGGGGGTGAGGGAGACATGCCCAACTTTTCAACTATCTGCTAAAAGCAACGGAGAACGGAGGAGTGTGATTGGTCATAACGCTGCTTCCTTTAAATTTGTCAACAGCACCACCTTTGCCCCTTAAAAAACAAACAGATATTTAGTGGCAGACCTGGAATAGACTGCCAGCTGATGGAGAGGTGTGTGTGTGTGTGTGTGTGTGTGTGTGTGTGTGTGTGTGTGCGTGCGTGACTCCACACTGGAGCTGATGGCATAAACCAGGCTGAACAGATGTTCTGTTGCAGCGAGGACTCCAAACCCCGGCAGCAGGACGAAGTCCCAACTCAGCAGAAACAAAACCTCACAGATTTTAAACTCATCAGCTAACAAAGAGAAGAAAAAGCAGGACGTGAAGCGCCCACCTCATTCGTTAGAGGTCTAACTCACAAGTTAAGAGTGGGTTGTAGGCTCAATCCTGGGTCCCAGCATGCTGCTGTTGTGTCCTTGGGCAAGACACTTCACCCTCCCTGCCTGCTGGTTGGAGGAACGATGACCTCGGTCAGAGCACCCCAGGGCAGTTGTGGCTACGATGAAGCTCAATATCAGGGTGAGAATGTGGGAGTGGATGGGTGAATGATTGTGTTGTAAAGTGTCTTGGGGGGTTGTAGGAACTCTAGGAGGTGACAAGTCAAACACAGGCCATTTACCATTCAGTGTGATGATTGAAGACTCCGTTTTTACCTAAATCTGTTGTTTTATTTTCCAACCCAAATTTGTAATCATCTTTTATTTGTTTTGTGGTATTTTATCATTTTAGGGCTTCTGATTTTAATCTATTTTGTTACTGGAAAAAGTGTTCAGGTCCATGAATGCATGACTAAAAGGCATGGGAACCCCCCCTTAACCCCACAAATGTGAGAGGCTGAACTGGAAGTGAGATTTAATTAGTTCACCATAAGACACAGCTGTCAAGACAGCTGGGAGGAAAACCCCAGATCCGTGAGCCTGGAGCCAACGGCCGGGATCTTGCGCAGCAAAGGCCACCGGTCAAAGCAGCTTCTATATAAAAGATACTCAGTTTGTTTCAAAAGCGCCAAACCAGACCAGAGTCGTCTCAAGGACCTTCACACAGTAAACAATACAGGTCAACTCATTAAGACAATCAGTAAAAAGTTTCCCATATGAGGAACCCAGCAGGTTGCATCGAGTCACTGACTAGTGTCAGAGTCTTTACAGCAATCCTCTTACTAAGCAAGCATGCAGCGACAGTGGAGAGCGACTGGGGATTGAGAAAAGAGAGACACACACACACACAAACAAACACACGTGTTCATACACACACACACAAAGACACACAAGTGAAGTTAGAGATAAAAATTCTGGCTTCTGATTGGCCAAGAGGTGCAGATGTTCTAAATCGAATGAATCTTTCTTATAGATCAGAGGTCATCAACTCTCTTCCCTGAGGGCGGGTATCCAGCATGTTTTTGTTGTTTTCCTGCTTCAACACATCTGATTTTTACCAGCAGGTGACTAACAGGTTCCTGCAGAGCTTGATGAGCTGAATAGGTGATTTAAGTGAGCTGGAGCAGGGAAACAACTAAAACATTCTGGATTACCTGCCCTCGGGAAGGGAGTTGATAATCCTTGCTATAGAGGTCTGCTGAGGCTAAAACAAGGACATTAAATGTTATTCATGTAAAATCTGACTCAAAATCAAAAGTGAAGTCCTTCAGAAGTTAAATAAGACACAATTATGGCTGTAAAATTTGAATAAATGAGGGAATTCCCATTAAAAAGTCCTGAACTATTCATTTAAACCCAATTAGAACAGTTAATCATAGTAGTGGGTTTAAATACGCCCACCATGAGGAAAAGCTACTCTGAGCAGGACTCTTACAGCAGACCACTGCAGCATTATTAAATCTGTTTGGCATTTATAACGCTGCTTACAAATCTCATGTTTCAGGGCCACAAACACAGATGTCCTTCTGCGCTCATCTGATGATGAGTCCCACCTGTGCTAGCCAGGCGCTTGCGTCCTTTCTCAGTCGTTCACATACAGAAACACCCTCAACTAACCATCTTTGGTCACGCTACATCCTCAGCACGCGAGTTCCCAGACCGAGGCAGGAACGCATCAGCTGACAGCACATGAACTGTATTTACGTTGGTCCAGGTCAGGGAGACCCTGATTCTGGACTGGATGCACGTCTCCGGTCTGTAACGGAACAGAGACTCGTGAACACACTTGTGAGGCCCCACCCCCCACCCACCAGGTCAAGTCAACGTGCAGGTGAAAGTAGCTAACAAGGCCTAACCTCGTGAAACTGCAAACACAGGAAGCGGAACGGCCGATCAGGTCTTCCTGTTTTTATAGAGTCAGAGACTCGTATTTGACTTGTCCCTGCAGGTGGAAGTGGGTAGTTATCAGGCATCTGTCGCATCGGGGGGCTGCTGTAGCACGGGCAGTTATCCAAGCAACACTCAGCAAATATCGTCATTAAATTATCCAACAGCTGTTTGGGGAGACTGGAGGGTTTTCTCTTCTTTACACCAACAGAACTTTACTATGCAGTAGCGACCCTTCCTGGACTTCAGAAGGAAGGCTGGTGGAGCAAGCAGATGCTTCCTGCTTTACAGCTTCAGACAGACAGCCAAGAGGAACCAGAGGGAAATGACAAAGTTCCTCCTCAGCAAGAATCGTCCAGCTCCACAGACGCGTCACCCAGAAACAAAACCATCACCCACGGTTGCTTCATGACGATCACATGCTCTTTATCAAACTGCAACAGCAGCTGGATGAGCAGAAGAGGCTTAAACATCTGCATCATGAACAACAGCATCAAGTTTCCTCAGAGCTGCCACAGCCGAACCTCACCAGCACACGCACAGGAAACAGTTTCACTCTGAGGCTAGAGGTTCTGGTCCGACTGCAGAAGTTTAGAGCTCTGCTGACTCAGCAGCTGCTTCCAGAACTTTAGTTTTGCTGTTAAAGGAGCCATGAAGATAAAATATACCCTTCCAGACACTTAAGGTCACACAATCAGTTTGTGACAAAAAGCTAAAGTTCAGGTCAAGAACCTTTTAAAGCTGAAATCCTGATTTGTGCCTCCTGGATTGCTGTAAATTTGATATAAAGATGGCTGACAGATGAAGTAATTCCATTAAATCTAACTTAAGATGAATATCTGCTTTAAAGCCTGGGCCCTCGTTGATCAAATGTTTTTAGAAACTGTCCTGTACGCCTGTATTCGTCAAAAACCTGGTCGTACGCGCGCTCCTCCACTCGTCTGATGATAAATCAAACCTGTGCGTACCCAGGTGCTCGTGTCTGTTCTGTCATTCACACACAGAAACACCCTCAAACATCTTTGGTCACGCTACGTCCTCAGCAAGTGAAATTCTAGGAAATTCCCAGGGGAATACTTTTTTAAAAACTTTATTGACTGTGAGATCGAGATACTGCCTGCTTAATTCAATTTTCAATTCAATTCAAGTTTATTTATATAGCGCCAAATCACGACAAGAGTCGTCTCAAGGCAATTCACATAATAAACATTCCAATTCACAGTTCATTAAGCCATTCAGAAATAATGTTTCCTATATAAGGAACCCAGCAAATTGAGCTTTGGGTGTGACCGAAAGAACGAGATTGCGGATACAAGCGGCCGAAATGAGTTTTCTCCGAAGAGTGGCTGGACTCTCTTAGAGATGGGGTGAGAAGCTCGGTCATCCGGGAGGGGTTCGGAGTAGACCCGCTGCTCCTCCACATCAATAGGAGCCAGTTGAGGTGGCTCGGGCATCTTGTCAGGATGTGTCCTTGACGCCTCCCTGGTGAGGTTTTTCTGGGCACGTCCAACCGGGAGGAGACCTAAAAGTAGACCCAGGACACGGTGGAGGGACTATGTCTCTCACCTGGCCAGGGAACGCCTTGGGATTCCCCCGGAGGAGCTGGCCCAATAGGCTGGGGAGAGGGAAGTCTGGGCCTCTCGCCTTAGGCTACTACGCCAGGGGGAGGAGATCCTTCGGTGACGCCATATATGCGTTGTACATGATTTGTAGTCATGCTAACAGCAAACTTTTACAAGCTGATAAATCTTAAATCATGTGACTGGCGTGGTCAAAACACCCATCATTACTTTTCATTTAAATATAAATACAATATATGTGTGATCAAGGGCGGGAGGCAAGGCGGATTAGAAAATAACTCTTTCAGCCCCGTTGACTAGAATTCATTTTTTTCGTTCTTCCGGTGACCCATGAGCCGACCGGAAAGGGCTGAGACTTAGGCTCCCTATTGAGCCTTTTATAACAAGAGTCTGACATTTCAGCCACACAATTTTGTTGTTTTATTTCATATTTTAGCAGCAGACCACGGTCTCGTTTCATTACCGGCGCGTTCGGAGTTTGTGGCTCGCTAAAATTAATAACATTTCTCTGTACTCCGATATCTCTGAGTTATTGCAGCACACAAGCAAGCTGAAACACACATTTCTGTTGTTCCACCTAGCTTTTAGGGAACCATTTGAGTTTGCACGCAGTTTATTTGGTGTTGAACGAGTTGCTCGTCCAGTTAGCTTAGCCTCAGCAGGGCTATGGCTACTTCTGTCTCTGCTTCTGTCTCCTATCTCTTGCTCTCTGTGTCAGATGTTTAGTTACTCCTCAGTCTCCTTTAGTGATAATGGTACGTGTAATAAATGTGGCATTTTTGTAGTTTTGGAGGCGCAGGTGTCGGAATTGGAGGCCTGGCAATGCGCTGTTGAAAAGCCCGTAGATAGCTGTAGGTACTTAGCTAGCGCGGGGCTAAGTAGCTCTGCACCCACTGACAAGCAGACAGTGATCATTGGCAGCTACATAGTCAGAAAAGTGGTATTAGAGACTCCAGCATTAGAGACTCCACAAACCATAGTTAAATGTGTTTAACTGGAGCCAGAGCGGGCAACATTAAATCTTACCTTAAACTGCTGGCTAAGGATAAGCATAAATACAGTAAGATTGTTATTCACGCTGACTGTAACGACACCCGGTTACACCAATCACAGGTCACGAATATTAATGTTGCTTTGGTGTGTAAGTTTGCCAAAACAATGTTGGACTCAGTCATTTTCTCAAGCCCCATGCCTGATCGGACCTGTGACGACATGTTTAGCCGCATGCTGTCCTTCAACCACTGGTTGTCTAGGTGGTGTCCTGAAAACAACGTGAGCTACATTGATAATTGGAAAACTTTTTGGGGAAAACCTGGTCTGATGCGGAGACGGCATCCATTCCTCTTTGGATTGAGCAGCTCTTCTTTCTAGGAACATGGCCAGTTTTATTAGTCCTCCATGACTACCCTGGGTCCAGACCAGGAAGCAGAGTCGTAGTTTAACACACCCAGCTGCAGCTTCTGAACAGTTACCCACCCACTAACCCATTGAGACAGTGTCCTGCCCACGGCCAAGACCACACAGATTTAATATCAGGCTTAATAAAGCAAATCATGGAAATCTCATAAATATTAGAACAAATTCAACTGAGCAGAAAACTAGAAAAATTAAATGTGGGTTGTTGAACATTAGATCTATTTCTTCTAGGACGTTGTTAGTTAATGACTTGAATTGTGATAATCAGATTTCTATAATCTCTCTCACAGAATCCTGGCTGCAGCAAGAGGACTATGTTAGCTTAAATAAGTCGACTACTTCAAATTATTTAAATCATCATATTGCTCCAAGTACAAGGCGAGGAGGAGGAGTAGCAACCATTTTTCATTCAGACTTATTAAACAATCCCTTACCAATTAATAGTTACAGTTCTTTTGAACATCTTATTCTTAAATTTCTTAATCCAGATTAGGGCTGAAACGATTCCTCGAGTACCTTGAATAATTCGAGTACAAAAAGCTCCAAGTCAAAATCTCTGCCTCGGAGGCTTCGTTTCATTCATGTTTGATTAATTCATGTTTGATTACTTCATGCCTTTGCAATCGCCCAGGGTCATGTTTCACCTGGACCAAAATAAGTGACGCACATACACACTGCACTGAATGCACACGTGAGTTGCAAATGTAACTTAACCTTCTCTTAAACCATGGAGGACAACGTGGACCCCGGTGGAGTGCGAAAAAGACAGAAAATGTCAAAGGTGTGGGACCAAGGCGGAAAACGTAGTCCAGTGTAAATACTGTAAAATGGATTTAGCCTACCACAACACCACATCCTCGACACTGCAGCACCTGACATCCACATGTAAATGTCACTTCTGCAAGCGGACTCGGAGCCTCTACAAGATAATGCATTTTAGCCAGTATTTCTATATATTCTGCGGACACTGTGCAACTTTTTCATTTGTAGCACTCAAGTTTCAGCTCACACTGTGCATTTGGTAGCAACACGTCGGACTTAAAATGTGCTAAAAATGGTAGTTTTTACACAACACGTCGGACCTTTTACTGTGTTATTGATGTCTGTTGTCCCTCGGGTTTGCTGCAGGAGGACACCGGTGTTTATGAGTGACGGAGGAAAACAAAAGAAAGGAAATAAATGTTTTGTGATCAGTATAATTTGACATAACCACAGCAAACATGCTTTTTCGACAATCCTTGTTATTGTGAGAAGAAAGTGTAGAAATTAAAATGAACGTGTGTCAATAGGGAAACAGCTGGTGAGCCATGTTTGTGCATGAGCTGTGAGCGGTTCTGGTGCTGTTTGGGCCGCAGCCGCTCGCATTTGTTTACTGTGAAGTAAAGCTGAAGTGCTTAAGTTTTGAAAACTAATTTTGAATAAAACTTGGAAGAATAACTGGCAATTGCTTGCTCTTTTAAGAGGTATTTCATATTTTATAACATGCTATTTGATATAATGGTTTACAAACAAAAAAAGACAAATTTATTAGAGTACTCGATTAATTGATAAAAGATTCGAAAGAGTACTCGATTACAAAAATATTTGATAGCTGCAGCCCTAATCCAGATTGAAAAACTGTAAAACCACTCGTTTGTAGTTTTGTATCGTCCACTCTGAGTTTTTGGATCAAATCTCAGATTTTTTATCTGATTTGGTGCTAAATACTGGTAAGGTCATTGTAGTGGGGGATGTTAACATTCATATGGACATTGAAAATGACAGCCTTAATGTAGTCTTTAGTAATATCTTGGATCCTCTGGAGCAGAGGTCCCCAACCCCCGGGTCACAGACCGGTAACGTCACCTGTTCGAGCAGCTTTGTGAGGAAATGGACGCAGAGCACAGACACCTTCTTTTATACACAGAAATAAGATGGTTATTCCGAGGGAGATCGCTGACCAGTGTTTGAATAACGAGAGCCGCTGCAGAAATTTCTCTCAGAAAAAAGTCACCGCTAGCAGTGCATTTCAGTGATGAGCAATGGGTTGCAAAATTTGCTTACTTGTGCGACATATTCAGCTCTCTCAATTAACTAAATCTATCACTTCAAGGGAAAATGACAACCGTCTTCAAGTTGGCAGATAAAGTAGCTGTGTTTAAAGCAAAACTGGATCTGTGAGGACGGCGAGTGAACAGGGGGATATTTTATGTGTTTCCAACATTATCAGGACTATTGCAAGAGACTGAGCCTGAGCAGTCATGCTCCCAGCTGATGCAGGATCACCTGTCTGTGCTTTTAAAAGAGTTTGATCGCTACTTTCCAACCACAAAAGACCCACGCATGACCAAGGAATGGGTTTGTGACCCGTTTGTCAACAAACCAGATGAATCAAGCCTCTCTGTGCAAGAAGATGATCAATTGCTGGAGGTCACATATGATGGCAGACTGAAAAGAATGTTTGAGACAACAGCTCTGCCAGTTTTTTGGATTAAAGTCATGGCGGAATACCCTGAAATCGCCACAACAGCATTGAAAACCTGTTACCATTTCCAACATCCTACCTGTGTGAAACAGGGTTTTCTGCAATGACAGCAACTAAAACCAAATTACGGAATAAACTGGACATAAGCAACACACTTCGGGTTTCACTATCTCCCATTACTCCTAGATGGGACCGTCTCGTCACACAGAAACAAGCTCAAGGCTCCCATTGACGCAGCCTTGGTGAGTTGTACTTTTCAATCACTTTATAATTGTTTTGGTGAATCTTACCTTGAAAGCATGTTTTTAAATTGCCATATAAACCAAGGCCATTAGGGAGAGTGGAAATGCAATGTTGGTTAAAACTTAACTGGTTAAAACTTATAACCGTTAAGTAGATGGCAGTGTGTGTTCATGCTGATGAGGTTACAAGTGCACACTGGATTCATTGTTGCATTTAAAAAAAACAGTCTTTATGCTGGTCATATGATATTAAATTCTTGTATTTATCTGCTACATGTTTAAGACTGGTCCGTGAAAATATTGCCTGATGCGAAACCGGTCCCTGGTGCAAAAAAGGTTGGGGACCACTGCTTCTTCCTGTTGCATGCTTGCCTAGTTTGGGGATTGATGTAAAGTTTCTGACACAACAGTGACTCAATGCAATCTGCTGGGTTTCCTTCTATAGAAAACGTGACTAACTGGCATAATGAACTGAACTCAATTGCGATGTTTACTTAGTGAATTGCCTTGAGATGACTCTTGGCATGATTTGAGAGAATGCTGATGTGTCCTTGAGCAAGATACTTAACCTGCTGGTGGAGGGTGTAGCTACCAGTGGCGCCAGTGTTCGGCAGGCCTCGCCTCCATCAGTGCACCCTAGGACAGTTGACTACATTGTAGCTCATCGCCATCAGCGTGTGAATGGGTGAATGATTGTGTTGTGAAGCGCCTTGGGAGGTTGTAGGAACCTATAAAGGCGCTATACAAATACAGGCTATTTATCTTTATATCATTTAACACTAGATAAAGAGAATTACACGAGTGTGAGAAATGTGTGTGTATGGGTGTGTTTTCAGGAGCGAGTCGGACCGGTGTCTTGACAGCACTTTGGCCCGGTAGGGGCGGGACTGGTCCTACCGCCGCCAGCGGAGAAGCTGAAGCAGGATGTAAACCAGCTGTGGGAGGAAGCCACTTAACAGGGACGTCATTCTGGGATAAACGCAGTTGTTGGGAACACTGGGCCTCTTACTGGGAGCTTTACACTAGTTAAGATACATAGACCAGAAAAGACAAGTGTGACCCAGAAAGCAGCACAAACCTTCTGCTATGAGCTCCTCCACGGTGACCTGATACCGACCGACCGCGAACACCTTCCCGTAGTAACTGCTGACTCCCGAACTGGAGCTGGCACCGGACGCCCCTCCAAGTCCACCACTTTCGGACTTTGGCATTCTAGAAAACTTCTTCATCCTTCCGTCTTTCCAGACCCTTCTCAACAAGCCTGGTCGCTGGCAGAAGCACCACCCAGTAATAAGCTGCTTGTGTCCGACGCGCCCTATCTACTTATCTGGAGTCTTTTCTTCTCCTGCATGCTCCGCGCCCAGTTCTTCTATTGGAACTCCTTGCTGTTGAATAACACCACATTTAAGTATAAGTAGTATTATGAATCCGTCATCGTAGGTTGGTGCCCCGCTTCTCTTGACAGCACCAACTCGCTTCAAATAGCCAAAGCAGGGCTCGTTAGCTGGCTGCAGGCGTTAGCAGGCATGTAGTCGGCGGTGTGCGGTCAGGACGCTCCTCCAAAAGGAAGACCCGGGCAACGGTGTGACTGGCGCCGATGCGACCAACACTTTCTCCGGTACAAACGACACCCTCCCGGGTAAATATCCGACCTTTGGGTCCACTAACGTAACCTCGGGGTCGTTCGCTTCACTTCACTCACGGACAGTTAGCTCGTTAGCCGCTGCGCTAACAAGCTCAGTTCCTCCTCGGATGCGCCGCCCCGATCGTAGGCGGACGGTAAAAATGAAAAAAGTAGGAACTGCTGATGCCAGTAAGATTCTCCTGCTTTACCGGAACTAACTGGTCACTTCTGTTTCATTTCACTAACTCCTCTCATCGTCTTTTTATTTCAGCTTCGCCAACGTCGAACTTCTGATTCTTCTAACGCAAGAAATCAGTGGGAAGCTTGTTATTTACCCAATGAGAGTGACAACCAAACATGGCGTGGCTCCGCCCACTCATACTAGTGTGATTGGAGTAAGCGGAAACGTATGGAAGCCAAATAACATCAAGAATAATAGATGAGCACTGGGTTTCACTCAGCAGGAAGTGTTTGGCTCCACTATAAAACAGCACAGTGCATGAAAGCAGATATAGCATTAACCCTTTATAGAGCTAAAGTCTATATTTAGACACTTCCACTGACATCATGAAAGATTCCATTTTTGGTTCTTTTTTAAAACACAGGAAAGGTTAGGAAAAGAACCAAAAATGGAATTAGAAGCCAAAAACAGAAAGAAAGTACCAAAGATCATAAATGATGTTGGTGTGCCTTTTCGCGAGCTATTAAGTTTACGGGATTTCACCCAAACAATCATCAGAGATTAAGATAGTCACAGTTTGCCCCATGGCAGCATTCCACCAGTCAGTGCAGGGCAATAACACGCCAAATACTGGTGTGTCTGCAGAGCCGGGAAACTCCTCGGTCTCCTCTACAAGATGTGGAAGAAACAAAAAATCCACAAATTTTCATTAAAAACACAATTAATAATGGAAATAATGGGTGTATTCTAATACAACAGTTCTGGGGTAACTAAGTTATTAAATTTAAAGTTGTTGATTTATTTTCTGTAGTCTGTCACTTAGTGAGCAGCTGTGATCAGCAGCAACATCTACAGATGATCAGACCTGCTGTATCAAGAGCCACAACCTGGTGAAACACTAGAAACTAGGATGAACATTGGTCACAATTACTACCTAAAACTAACTTCAGGGTACTTTCATTTTGCTTTTCACGGTTTTGATGGAGATGTTTCACAAACCAAAACTTTTGGGACACTTTTCTCTTAAATCATTCTAAGACGTTAACATTAATCTGCTGCTATGTTAACCCTCTGGAGTCCAGGGGTAATTTGCCGTTTTTGACCAATTTAGAGTTTTCCTTTGTATTTCCAAAATAAAAACCATAACCACTGCCTTAAGTGGCATCAGTCTTTTCAGCACAACCTGGACTTTATGAATTTATACTTATTTTTTATATTTGGACATTAAGGGGTTGCATATCAGACCTTAAATCACTCAAAAACATAAAATCCGAATAGGAAAAAAGTTGTTTATTTTATTGTGATCCAACAAACATTTATGACAAATGTTTTTTATAATTTAGAATGGAACTATGGTATCCTGGACTATCTGAATTTATAATTATTTTATTAATTTGGCAATAATGTACATGCATTTTGGAGTAGGGAGTGGCTCTGTCTCACGCCGCGGACATCGAGATCTGACAGCTGCGCTGCGCCGCCCACTCCTCTTGTTGGATCTCCGAGGTGCTGGATCTCTGCCTTCATCCTCTACCTCATCATGACCCAACTCTTCTATGAGGAAGGATGGATCTGCCACATCGTCATCAACATCCTCGCTATTTGCCTCAGACTCCGGCTGTGAGTCTCCGTCCACTTCCTCTGCTTCCAGTTCAAAAAAACAGCCGTACTATCTGAACTGACTAGTGGACATTTATCCTTCTCATCATCCTTTATATAAGCCTAATAAAAGCTTACTAAACTGCAGAGACAATATATCTGTCCGGATCGCTCCACAGTATGAAGTTTACCGTCAATATCTGTCTAACTGTTGTTACTCCGTTCGCGCCATTCCTTTCCCCGCCAAACGGCTCCCTTTTGCGCACATCTCATTACTCGTGCGGCCTTCCTCTCTCTCTCAGCTACATGATGATACTTTTTATCAATTGAATATGTGAGACTTCCACCAACAGCAAAAGGATCTTATATTTTTGTGGGGGGTTTTATGTTCACAAGCACATTCCCTCTCACGGATTACTAAACTGCTGTTTTGACAAGTTATCAGATTGCCTAAAAATAGGTTGTTTTTTAGTTTAGTATAACTCCGCTTTTACGTTGCCTATTAAAGAAATGTAAAAACTGGGGTGTAGTTTATAATCTCCTTTATAAAGCTGAATAGAAATCTAAACTCAGGGAGGCGGAGTCTTGCTGCAACTACATCCCAAATCAGACCTGTTCAAAAGACGCGTATACTCGTCCATGGACCCCAGAGGGTTAAGTAGATTCATAGTAGATGCCTGGAGAAAATATCCAGTCTGCCTAGTAACAGATAAAACCACTACCTATGAGGTTTTAAGGATTTAAGATTTCTTAAACTTAATTCCTACTTCTGCAATTGTTCATATAAAATTAAATAAATTAGTAACAAACAGATGTTGACACCTTTAATTTCAATGATAACTTGTAGGAATATTATTTGGACTAGGATCAATTATACTGTTGTTATCTAAAACAGGATTTAGGCTACAGAAGGTGTGATTGTTGATTAAAAGTTTAATGGCCGATCACACAGACGGGTCATGCTTCTGCTTGCAGACTGATGCCATGAATAACGAGGTGCTTCATTAAATTGCTGGTATTTCCATATTTAGAGACAAAATTTAGCTCCGTTTCCTTTTACTTTGGCAAAATGCAGCAAAAGCTTTTTTTTTTCAGCATTTTTTAAGTCCACCACCTCGGAGAAGTTTTGTAAGATCCAGTCAGGTGTCGTGCTGCAGCGGGAGGAATGGAGCTGCAGCTCCTTAACAGGGATATTTTACTGGGAAAGTACAGAAATTTAGCCCAGAAAAATATGTTTAGTACTATTAGAACGAGTGGTGGTGTGGTGGTAAACGTAGAGCTTCAGCAGCACACCGCTGTGTCACTCTATCCTGCTCCCGCTCAGCTCTGGGAGCAGCGGCAAACAGCCCCACCCGGCTGGAAAAGCTTGAATGGGACATACCAATTCGAGGAATAGGAGAGGGTGATCATAATCTTTGAATGATTACTAACACATTGTTTAGATTTGGATCGAATGTGATCTGGGACACAACTTTATGCCGTCCCCCCAGGATTTCCGTTTATGATCGTGGGCCTCGGTGAAAAAAAATAGTGAAATTTCTGTTTGCTTCACAGCCAGACAGGACAAGAAAAAATAAATAAATAGCGACTTTCGAGCCCCGGACAGAGCCACACCCCATATACACTAGATATTTGCATCGATCTCATGGGGTGCCCCAAATCGCAACAAAATTCCATAAATCCGGTAAAAACCGGAGAATCCACATCCCTGAGTTATGCTGCTATAGGCTTAAGTTTGGTTTATGCTTGACGCATTCACTTTCCGCTTGGTGATGCGGCTCGCGGCTGGAACGCGCTTCACAACTTGCGGCGATTATGGTTCATGCGGCTTGTCTCTGCGGTGAGCCAATATTCTCCCAAACTGAACGGGGCAGCATGGAGCTCTACGGCATGCATCCAACACTACACCATAGTAGAAGTAGAAATTACTGTTTACAACATGGCATTTCAGCAGTTTTTAACAGCGTCCTCATCTTTTCCGACAGTGCGAGCTATTTCTCTCCAAGAATTATTAACAACATGTTGATCACGGTGATCTCTGAGAGCTGAATCATACAAATGTCTGTATTTACGAACCTCTGCCATACTAGTTCTTGCCGGTCCGCCATGTTTTTCCGCGTCCGACCGTCCACATGGTTAGAAAATTTCCTAGGTGCGCGTTGCGGAAATTTTGGGCCATGCGGAGGCACGGTGGAGGGGCATGGTTGTTAAAATGACGCAAAAATGACGCAACTTTTCCGCGCGGAGCCGTGTGGACCTCGCGGACACGTCAAGCGTAAACCAACCTTAAACCGGAGCTTAGACTGCTGGAGGACACACTGACCACTTTCCACACTCGACTACTTTCTTCTACAATCTGCTCTTTAACTGTACTATTTCCTGCTATTTCAGCTGTTAACTTTATTTTTTCTCTAAGTGTTTTTCTCCCCATAAGAAGCTACAATGATGTTCTACTGAGCTGTGGTGGCCTCATGGAGGGGGCCATCGGCTAGCACACTGCTGCTAACCACTTAAACATTCTCCCTCTCCTGATAATAACATTTTACTCTCTTTGACATTGAATGTGCTACTACTAGTTTACCCGTTTAATTATAGATTCAATAAAATAAAAATAACAGTTTATCTCTTACTAAATTACTTATTTAATCTCTTGTTGCCTC